GCTTCAGAACCAATCTTACTTCATGTAGAAGGAGTTTTCCCACCTCCAGCCCAGTGCTTGGAGACTCAGCCATTTCCCTTAAGGGACCAAGACCAGCCTGGTGTGTTTCCGGATGAGGGCTAAGACTCTGCCTCCTCCCTACAAGGCCCATGTGATAAGAACCCAGCAGTCTCCCTGCTTATATACACCAGCCCAAAATCTCGGGCCCTGTCACCTCTGACAGAATTCCTGATGCAAATCACCTACTTAGATTACAATATTACTTCTCCCTTGATTTTACCTTCTCTTTATTTGGTCCCAGAATCCATCCCAGCTCCCACCACATGCAATTTCCAGTTCTGTCTGCTTGCTAAGACCACCCTGTGACCTGCTAGTCTAGGCTTCTTAAAAGAGTCTGTGGCTCAGTCTGTCTCTTTACAATTGGCTCCCAGTTAGTCCTACCCCATCAACATTAACTGAACCATCCAGTTATTGTGACAACCAAAAGTGCCTCCAGCCCTAGTCCTGCTGAGAAACAGTGGAAGCAGACGAGAGCTCATATCTTCAATGAGAAATGGGCCAAGCATTTCAGAGCCTGGTTCTTTCCATGCCAATGGTTCATAAATCTTGCTTGTGTCAAACTCGTCTGGGGGAGCTTCTGATGTATCTATTTAACACACACTTAAAGATAGTGCTTACTATGTGCCTGAAGCTGCTGTAACACTCTACAAATATTAACTCACTTAATCCTCATAACAACCCTTTGAGGTCTGCACATTATTACTCCCATTTTACAGATCAGTAAACTGGGGTTTGGGAGGTTAATGAGATACCCAAAATCTAATAAACGTAGAAGCCAAAATTTATTTTGGTTACAGGGTAAATGGTAAGCACCATGTTATGCAGCAAACAATCGTATGGTATCCCCAAAGATCTGATTCAGTAAATCCGGGGAAAGGACTGAGAAATTTGTACGTACCTGAACAAGATTTTCAGGTGATTTAATATACTGAGAAGGGCACCCACCTAATAACTGATATTTGGGAACCACAGCACTATTCTACTCATTTGGGACAGACAGGAGGAAACTTACATGGCTAGAAATAAATCTGTTTTAGAGTATACTGAAAAAGCAAGGAAAAACAGTGGTTGAGGGAACTACTCACTCAAAACCTTAAGCCAGGCTAATAATACACATCGCTTCCATAAAATGGTCAACAGTGAACTATGTATTGTTAAACAGAAAGGAATATATTAAGAATGCAGCATCAGAGGAAGAGTATAAATAGCATTAATAAACATGAAATTATCCTATTAAGTAGGCTACACAACAGCAATGGATTTAAATGAAAGAAGGAAGAACAGCCTCGTTAGTGGTTTGGTGGGCTGCAGATGGGCAGTCGTGAACCAGTTAGACAAGACAAAAGATACCAGGTAACCCTAAAGCGTGACTTCAAGCAATACAGGAATTATAGCAGCTGAAGGGGAAAATAGAAGCAATTGGATAAACATGAAAAAATAAGATAAAATGTGAAAGAAATTTGAAGACAGTTTAACACCATGCTAATATGATTATCACCACTTTGCAATGTTATGTCATCTTGAGGGGCCCCTGTAAATACACAGAAACATCAGAACCAGGCAGAGCCATAAGCAACAACCCACTCCTGAAAGGAGGTTAACAGCTGTAGACCCATCAGCAGTGTTTCTAGCCACTCAGAATGGAAATGACCGTGAATCAAAGAGTCAATTCAAACATTAACCAGAGCTCCCACTCTGCCAGCCACTGCCATAGAAGGTGGGATACAAAGAAAACTAATATGCTGGAAGCTCAGTCTCTTCAGCTTTACAGACAAGCCTCACCCTCACCTCCAAGCACTAATTAAAGTGACATCCCCCGTGTCAGGAGACATGTAGTCCTATTCCCACCAGCTCAATTGTAGCGAACCCTAAAGGTTTTGGCGAATGGAGCCAGGAGATGGGTTAACTGAATGCCAAATTTTAGTTTTTAATTAACACAATATTTGGCAGTAAAGTTTTTAAAAAACAATTATCTTGTGAATAAGCCTTCAAAACTGAATGTACTTTACCAAAGTCTTAACGTATTTCAGTTTCTTTTCAGGGTCACGTATTATAAATCAAGGCAAATAAAATCCACTTTCATCAAACCTTCTCCAATTTGCTATCCTTCCTCAAGTTTCCTCTTTCGCTGTGCTTTTTTATATTCTGGAACACAGTGATACTTTACTCTAGAACTCTCTTTTTCTTTGCAAAACAAGACTCGTCTCATTACCTTGCATTCTCTGTTATTCTTGCCCCTAAAATGATTTTAGCCACTCATATTAGTTGTAACTTTTAACCAATTTGATAACTTCTGTTTCACAGAAAGAACTGGAGGCAGATAATTAAGAATTGTCATATGCAAGCATTTTAGCAGATAAATAAAGCTCATAAGTACATATAACACAACTGTCTACAGCCACACACATTCCCTTTACACCTTCTGAAAGTGGCAAAAATGAACACGTCCATTAACACAACCGAAAAGAACAGCTATCCTATGGCATATAAAAACAAGAAGCAAAAGTATATAAACTTAAAATTATGCTCTCATTAATCAGTGTTTCAGGATTCAACTTTTAAAAATAAATTACCTAGTTATCTAACAATTAATCATTAATTAACTCAATTTAATATTATCTCAAAGTTTTAATTACCTAAGGATTTTGGAAATGTTTAAACTTATGTGATACAAAACATAATTACTGTTGATCTAAAAAGTTCATCTGAATAACTACTCATTTTAGTGAACGCATATTTACATTTTTCATAACCTTAAATTTTCCGGAGCAGTAATGCTAGCTTATTTAATCAGTAAACCAATATACAGAGCTCAGGAAATTCAGATTAGCTAATCTCTTCATGAGAGAACAAATCTAAATGTCATAAAAAAGTACCTGTATTTTACTTAACATTGATAAATCATAGAAAAGACATATAATTGCCTTTTCTTTCTTAAACCAAAATTATTAATCCAGCCTGATTTCCCCAAAGACTCGCCTTAATTACATAAATCTGGATTCTTCAAATGTTTCTAGGACAGCAGTTTTTATAAGAAGGACTTTTTTTCTTGAAAGTCTAGCACACTTAAAGTATTAGAAATTCTGGGCTTTTTTTAAACTTGTGGATTTACACAAGTGCATATGTATGTCTACAGACCAATCAAAACAGAGAAACAGAGTTCCTTTAATTTAAGAGACATTACAATGGAATTCACCAATACCCTCCAGAAGCATGAAAACATTTTACATTCACATAGCAAGATACCAAAGCTATCCTAAACTGTAGACACACAGAGAGCTTATAGCTCCAGCTTTACCACCTCAATCCCAGGTTGAAAGTCAACACAAAAACTCACCAGCCCTTATCTCAAAAAGCTGTTCTCCTCCCCAGTGAGCACAAAATTCTTAATTAATTTGAGCTCACGAAGGACAAAGAAAAAGACTAAAAAACTGATTCATTGTCATCTCTCTTCTAACAGAGACTAGATCTCCATCATCCAACAAGTATCACCAAATCGTTAGACCATAAAACCAAATTCCCAATCATTGCTGCTACCAATGTTTAATAACTGAGCCATGCACAAATCAGAAACAAAAACAAAATTGTTAAAAATAAGTAAAAATTAAAAATAGACAGTAAAGGGGTCGGCCCTGTGGCCAAGTGGTTAAGTTTGTGTGCTCCACTTCGGTGGCCCAGGGTTTCACCGGTTCGAATCCTGGGCACGGACATTGCACCACTCAATGGGCCACGCTGAGGCGGCGTCCCACATGCCACAACTAGAAGGATTCACAACTAAAATATACAACTATGTACTGGGGGACTTTAGGGAGAAAAAGGAAAAATTTTTTTTAAAATCTATAAATAAATAAAGTTTAAAAAAAAAGACAGTAAACAGTTCTATAATCACTTTGGATTTACTGTAAGAACCAATAAAAGAAATGCCTGGGCTTAACCCATAAGGTACACTTCTTTTGCTATACAGTTTGGCTTCATCACGTATGCCCACTTGGGTATCTCCATGGAACCTGGAGATTTCTTATATTAAAGTATAATTTTCAAAAACGTAAAATGTCTCTCATGCAAATATAAAATGAACATATGTCAAATTTTTATTCAACTCTAATTAATGATGGAACAGGTAAGATGTTAGGACCAATCCAGAGATTATGAGAAGCTAGGCATATATAATAAAGAAATGTTAGGATAGGATTGCAGAGTTAGATATAAAACTGCTTAATATCTTACGGAACAACAAGTCATAACCTACAGGGTTATCTGGCCCACCAGATAGAAACTACTTGCATCTCTGTCAGACAAAAAGCTGTAAGTTAACCTCTGCCCCTACAGAATTGTAAAATAGCCCAGTCAATAGAAAGTCAAGCCCAGAAAAGCTCTGAAAGAACATTCAGTAATCTCTTGCCTATTTACAAGTTTTGGATAATTTTTCTCATTGGAGTGAGATATTGCAAATATTGCATGGGACATACTTACACTGAAAATCATTCATTTATCTGAAATGCATATTTAACTGGGCATTCTGTATTTATCTTTTAACTCTAATAAGTTAAAACTTTACCAAATCTCTACAGCTCCGTTGCCAACAATATATCTCTTAAATCTGTGCCTAGCTTCATATCCTTGCCTAGATAATAAATATTAAGTCTATTTCTACCACGCCTCTCTTCTTTATATTTACCACTGGGGGGCGCATATAACTTACAGTCTACTGGATGCGAGGGACTGAAGAGACCACAGCAGTGTTTCCACATCTGATCCGCTAGGGGACCGTCCGGCAAACTCTCAGATTTCACACCCAGGTTCTGCTCCTACGCGCCCTAAGCATCCGTGCGCATGCGCAGAACTGCTCCAACGCGAGATTCGGACTGCGCAGGCGCTCCAGTGAGTGTGCAGAACCTATTGGTAGGACCCAGGGTGCAGGGGAACCGAGGAGGTGGAGCCGCTGGGAGTGCGCATGCGCTGGGGCTGAGGAGCCGGAAGGCCGCGGGGCAGCCGAAGCTGTGCGTGAGTGGTGTGCTTCGTTCGGTGGAGATGCCCAGCCGGGGGGCGCTCCCGGAGGACGGCGCCGGGCTGGTGCCTACTGACAACTCGGCCCCTCACAAAGAGGATCTTAGCAGCAAGGTGAGTGTGGCACGAGGCGGGAGGGCCTGCAGGCTCGGGACGGGGCGCCGCTCAGCCCCAGGGAAGGTCGCCGGGGCCGCGTGGACCACTCTCGGCTTTGCCCAACTCCTTGACTCTTTTTATTCGTCGCACTGGACAGGTACAGTTAAGGGAGACCCTGAAGCTTGCCCCGAAATTAGACCTAGGTGGCAGTGGGGCGGAGATTTGGTTAGGATTTTTTCTCTCTACTCTTTAAACTTTTAGAAATACTGCTCACCCTAGATTCGCTGCCGATACTCTCCATCTCAGGAAATGTCGCCACCAACCATCCAGTTGTCCAGGCCAGTGACTTGGGAACCATCCTTGACGTCCATCACGAAGTCCTATGGGTTCTGCTTCTAAGGCTCATTTCAAATATGTCGCTTTTTCACCGTGTACACTCTCACCATCCTAAACCAGCCACCGTGGTCCACCGTCGGGAACCCCGCAAAGACTACCTAACTGATCTCTTGTCATCCATCGTTACCGTCTTCCATTCTTTCCTCCGCATTAGCCAGAGCAATGATCCTAAAACTCGTATTTGATCGTCACTCCTCCACCCAAAAAGGCGGGGGAGGGGAGCCAGTATAACATAGATCTTAACTGCCATAAAAAGACAAAACCTTTAAAAATATATTGGAGACGGGGATGGTTATAGCTATTCAGGTATTAGATGTCCTAGAGTCTACTTTGGCTCTGTCCGAAACTAACAGTGACATTTTGGGCAAGAGTCTAATCCCTCTTATCACAGTTTCATTGTTTGAAGTAAAGTGAAATGTATACCAGACATTCCTAAAGTGAATGGGAAAGCAGTGTTCAAACATAGCTCTCAAGGAGGTTATACATTCGGTTATGGAATCTGACTCAATCTAGTCAGTCACTGCCCTGTCAACTGGAGAGACACAAGGGTACACTCTTCTTGGGGGTGAATTTTCAAACCCCGCCTAGCCCAATCTGGGTACCACCATAGCAAGCCACTTAGACTGATGTATGACAGATCCCTGAGGCGTGTGAGGTAAGACAAAGATTATAAAAACTGCTTTTAGAGGCACTGTTGACACTATGTAATCAGGCACGTTCAAAGAATAACGACCTTTACTGAAAAGAGTTGGAAAAAAACTTAGTTTCCGCTTAGTTGAGCTCTCTCCTACTAATGAAAAGTGAGGCCAAGTTGAGCAGTGCCAGCATTGTGCTGGTCTTTGAGATACAAAGGGGAATGAAGCAAACATGGAAAGTGATGGGTCTTCCTGCCCCAGGTAGGCATTTAGTACTACTTGCTGGTTCTGAATGTCTGGCTGCACCGTTTAGTACATAAATCGTGAAAAGCATTGCTATTTGTGGGGGGAAAAGTAACTAACCCCGCATTCCATTTGCTGGTTGTTTTTTCGGTCTTTTCCCCCAAAAAAGCTAAAACATAAAAGAAATAATTGAAAAACTAGTATTACTTTTGGTGCATCTTGTTTATTTTAAATAAAAGGTATAAACCTTGTTTAGTAACTTCGGCCCTTGCCTGGATGCTGATTACCGACGCCAGACTCCCTGGCTGGGCTCAGTGGGCTGGCTAACCCTTGACAAGTCTGAGCACTGTTTCCTCCTCCAACTTTCCCCCACCTGCACCCCCACACAGACTGTGGTTGAAGGGAGTCTCTGAAGTCACAGACTGCCCGTTATAGCCCCTTATCCCATCTCTCTAATTTTAAAGGGCCCTCACTGAGCATACTTTGAAAACCTCTGGTTTAAGATGTTTTTCTTTATTTCAATAGATTAAAGAACAAAAAATTGTTGTGGATGAACTTTCTAACCTGAAGAAGAACAGGGTGAGTTTATTAGAGTAACTGAATAGTATGTGGGAGGTTTCATTATACCTTATTAACTATATAGTGAAGTTATAAGAATCATATGATTTATATTTATATTAAAACTTACAAGATTTCAGGGGCCGGCCCGGTGGCACAGCAGTTAAGTTTGCACGTTCTGCTTCAGTGGCCCAGGGTTCCCCAGTTTGGATCCCGGGTGTGGACATGGCACCACTTGGCAAGCTGTGCTGTGTTAAGCATCCCATGTATAAAGTGGAGGAAGATGGGCACAGATGTTGGCTCAGGGCCAGTCTTCCTCAGCAAAAAGAGGAGGATTGGCAGCAGATGTTAGCTCAGGGCTAATCTTCCTCAAAATAAATAAATAAAAGTGAAAAAAACTTAAAAGATTTCAGCATCTTTTTAGTTAAATTGCAACAGCGAAAAGCATCCAACATTTTATAGATATATATATCATATAGATATCTGTAAATTAATCATAGTTGATGATATCTTTTCTCCATCATGTGCAATTCACATTACCTTTGAACCAAATGATACAGATTGTAGTATGGTATCTTTGAGCTATAATCAATAATGTTATTTACTTTATACTGGAATTTGGTGTTTTCTTTTGAAATGAGTTTTATATTGAGAAGAGAGGAACTGTTTCTTTAAATGAATGTGGGTAATTGTTGAAAAAACAAAAAGGATAAATACTTCCCCCCCCAAAAGTGTTTTACAAATCTTCCAAGTATTTAGCATAATTATGTAATGCCATTTCCACTAATGTATTCATAACAAGCAAGCTACTGCTTCATGTGTAGTTATATTATCACAAATTACTTCCTTTTTTTTTTTTTTTGCTGAGCAAGATTAGCCCTGAACTAACATCTCTGCCATTTTTCTCTATTTTATATGTGGGACACTGCCACAGCATGGCTGCCAGGAAGTGTGCATCCATGCCTGGGATCTGAACCCATGAACCCACATGCTGAACTTAACCACCAGACCATGGAGCTGGCCCCAAAAATTACATTTTAAGGTCAGGAAGAAATGATTTTGAGCCCTTTAAAGCATTTTAAAGATAATTTGAGGGGCCCGGCCCCGTGGCTGAGTGGTTAAGTTCACGCACTCCACTTCGGTGGCCCAGGGTTTCGCCAGTTCAGATCCTAGGTGCTGACATGGCATCACTCATCAGGCCATTCTGAGGCAATGTCCCACATAGCGCAACCAGGGGCACTCACAACTCGAATATGCAACTGTATATTGAGGGGCTTTGGAGAAGAAGAAGAAGAAGAAAAGAGATTGACAACAGATGTTAGGTGTCAATCTTTAAAAAAGAGATAATTTGGTAACAGACAAGTCAGACATTTCTGATACTGTCACTTGTGGAATATTAGAAATTAAGGCATAATTAATACAAATTTTCTAGAGGGAAAATTGGCAGAATGTCTTATTGAAGCCTTAAAACTTTGTAACACTTTGACCCAGCAGTTCTATTTCTAGGAATTAATACTTAGGAGAGAATCATGGGAATGCACAAAGATTTAGTTTCAAAGATGTTCATCACAATGTTGATTCATAGTAGTGAAAAGTTGGTGACAACTGTCTAAAACTTGAGAACTCACCAAATAAACTGTAATATTTTATACTCATATAGTAACGTTGCAAAAGAACACTACTGAGAAACAGTATTCTCAATATAATGTTCATTGATAAAAGCAAATTATAAGTCTATAGTTATAGTAGTAGCCTTTTTTGTTAAATAGGAACTGTATTATAGTATATGCTATAGAGAGAGAGAAGAGGTTCACCTCAGTGTTAACAGTAGCAGTTTCTAGATGTTGGGGTAATAGATGACTTTCGTTTATTTATCTGCATTTGCTAAGGGATTGTTCTGAGCACGTTACTAAAGTTCAAGAATAAGCAATAACACGGTTCAGAGTTTGGATATCTACTTTTTCGATCAAATCGTGATATTAGCCTAAATTATGTTTTGCAGAAAGTGTATAGGCAGCAACAGAACAGCAACATATTCTTTCTTGCAGACCGAACAGAAATGCTTTCTGAAAGCAAAAGTAAGTTTCTTTGGTATATTATTTGGAAACACACAGAAAGTCTTTTGTAGGCTTTCTGTAGAAATTTATGGTAGCGCCTGAATTATACTATCTATATCTGAATGTTTAAATATATTGGGTGGTGTACCAGTTAATAAAATTAATGCAGTGGTTTTTCTTCCACTAAGCCTTCCAAAGATGAGTCTACAGTAAAAATAAAAGCAATTAAAAGTACATAAGATGCATTTAGAAAGCAGTAATTATTAACGTGTTTGGAGTCTTAGACAGATCTAGGTATGAAAAACTGTTCTACCACTTTCTACCTTTGTGACTTTGAGTGAATTACTTTGAGCCTCCAAAGAATTGTGAGATTTAAATAAGATGGTATATATATAATGCGTAGCCCTGTGCCAGGGCCAGAATAACCATGTGATAAGCAGAAACTATTTTCCTACGAGGTAAACTTCCGTCATTAGAAGCTTGTTGTAAATTACTGTTCACACTAACACAGTACATATACTCAAGTGGTTTAGTCTTGGTAAATAGCCTATGTTGCCCTATGAATTACGTGGTAAAGGTCCAAGAATTTTTATTTTACTTAATATTTCTTCTCCCCTCCCCCCACAGATATATTAGATGAGCTGAAAAAAGAATACCAAGAAATAGAAAACTTAGAGAAGACCAAAATCAAGAAATAGTCAACTTGATTTCGCAGAACAATGTGCGGCATTTGTTGTTCTGTAAGCTTTTCTGCTGAGTGTTTCAGCAAAGGTTGGAAAGAGGATTTGCAGTATAATCTTGAACGACGGGGACCCAATAGTAGTAAGCAGTTATTAAAGTCTAACACTAACTACCAGTGTTTATTTTCTGGTCACGTCCTCCACTTAAGAGGTGTTTTGACTGCCCAACCTGTGGAAGATGAAAGAGGCAATGTGTTCCTGTGGAACGGAGAAGTCTTTAGTGGAATAAAGGTTGAAGCTAAAGAGAATGATACTCAAATAATGTTTAATTATCTTTCCTCTTGTGAGAATGAATCTGATGTTTTGTCACTCTTCTCACAAGTCCAAGGTCCGTGGTCTTTTATATATTATCAAGCATCTAGTCATCATTTGTGGTTTGGTAGGGATTTTTTTGGTCGCCGGAGCTTACTTTGGCATTTTAGTAATCTGGGCAAGAGTTTTTGCCTCTCTTCAGTTGGCACCCAAACCTCTGGAGCAACCAGTCAGTGGCAGGAAGTTCCAGCGTCTGGTATTTTCAAAATTGACCTCAAGTCTACTTCCATTTCCAAATCTGTAGTTTTAAAATTGTATCCTTGGAAATGTACTTCCAGGGAAAATGTTATCAAAGAATGTGTTAATAGCCTGACTCAAATTTCAGCAAACTTGCAAACATTTGTCTCAGTGATTGCAAATGAAGCCAAACTCTGTCTTGAAGAACCTGTCGTTCCTTTAAACATGATGTTGCCACAGGCTCCATTTGAGATTCACTGTAGGAACATTTCCCGTCTCCCACCGACAAGAGAGACCCTTGAGGTCTTTCTTACCGATGGACGCAGGAAGGAAATAGTTCACCAGTTCATCGATGTCCTGAGTATCGCAGTCAAGAGACGTGTCTTGAATTTACCTAGGGATGAAAACCTGACACCAAGTGAAGTTTCAAAAACTTGTGATAGGAAAGCAAATGTTGCAATCCTGTTTTCTGGGGGTATTGATTCCATGGTTATCGCAACCCTTGCTGACCGTCACATTCCTTTAGATGAACCAATTGATCTTCTCAATGTGGCTTTCATGACCAAAGAGAAGACCATGCCAACTAGTTTTAACAAAAAAAGTGGAAAACAGGAAAATCGTTGTGAAATACCTTCTCAAGAATCCTCTAAAAGTGTTGCTCCTGCTGCTGCTGCTAGTCCTGATAAACAGTTCAGGGTACCGGATCGGATCACAGGGCGAGCGGGGCTGAAGGAGCTGCAGGCCGCTAACCCTTCCCGGACTTGGAATTTTGTTGAAATTAATGTTTCTCTGGAAGAACTGCAAAACTTCAGGACGACTCGAATATGCCGTTTAATCCGGCCCTTGGACACGGTGTTGGATGACGGCATTGGCTGTGCAGTGTGGTTCGCTTCGAGAGGACTTGGTCGGCTAGTGACCCAGGATGGAGGGCGATCGTATCAGAGCACGGCAAAGGTATGGCCCGGGGTTTCTGCTCGGAAGAATTTGAGACCTAATGTTAACCTTAAAGCTTTTAGCATTTAGGTTGCCAGAAGATAGCATATTTTAGTTCCATTTAAACTATAACACTGTATATATGACTTTTTAAAAATTGGGCATGTTTTACTATTTTGTGACTTTGTCCTGTGTTTTTTCTCTGGAAATGTTATCTTTGAGGTGATAATTCTTTAAGCTTTGCCTTTAGTTACTTTCCTCACTGGATGGAGCTAACCCTTCTCACGTGGCTTTCTTTCGCCCTTTCTAGGTGGTGCTGACTGGAATTGGTGCAGATGAGCAGCTTGCAGGCTATTCTCGTCATCGCGTTCGCTTTCAGACTCATGGGCTGGAAGGATTGAATAAGGAGCTCGAGATGGAACTGGGTCGAATCTCTTCTAGAAATCTTGGTCGTGATGACAGAGTTATTGGTGATCATGGAAAAGAAGCAAGGTAATTTTAATTATCTGAGTGTTACTGGGTAATTTTTTAAAAACAGTGAACTCTAAAAGGAGATTTTTAGGTTCCTTTTTTTTTTGGAGACTGTTCAAATGAAGAACGGCAGCAATAATATTTTGGCTTTTATGACAAGCACAGTCAGTCAGAAGCGAAGCTGCGGAGGATCCAGAGCAGCAGTTTTCTAGAACCCGTTCTCCAGGAAATGCCTTTTCAGTAATTTTCAGAGATGATACCATGATGTGATTGCTTTTAAGACTACAGTGAAAAAGACTGTAAAACTGAGGTAGTGAAACGCTGAGAGAGGATATTTAAAGGGTTTGTTCTGTTTTAAATGTTTGCTTTCCTCCCAGTAAGGGCATAGACCCTGTGCCCAGGTGCTCTCCTCCATGTTGTGGAACCTGGCTTTGTCTCTAAGACGTTTCTGTGTGTGTAGAGCTATACTGACTTAAGTGGTGGTTCTAGTACTGGATTCCCGTCTGTTCAATGTTTTTGGGCTTTTTTTTTTTTTTTATGAAGATAAGCCCTGAGCTAGCATTTGTGCCCATCTTCCTCTGTTTTATATGTGGGACGCCTGCGACAGCATGGCTTGACAAGCGGTGCGTAGGTCTGCGTCCAGGATCCGAACCAGCGAACCCCGGGCGGCAGAAGCAGAGTGTGCAAACTTAACCACTGTGCCACTGGGCTGGCCCCTGTTGAAAGTTTTTTAAACACGGTTTAGTCATATGTTACAGATTACCCAGAACCTTCAAAGAGATCAAGGCGCTTTCATTACATATATTCTCTTTTTAATCTTGGGGATTTATTTTTACCTACAATGTGTGTCTGAAGGTAGTAAACAAGTGCTTGAACATAGCTTTTTAAAGCATTAAAGGTAAAAGGAAGATGTGTCATTTAGTTAGAAAAAGCAGAAATTTATTGAAGTAGGTTAATCTAGTAAGTGGCAGTTTATTCCACGGGCCTGCCCGCTCTGAGACGCCACTGCTGCTGCCTCTGCATCAGTTGTCCTCCTTCCACTGAACTGTGGCTGCTTTACACACTTGTCATTCTTATGTTGCCAGTTCTGACACGTGCACAGTTTTGTCTACTATATCATTATTCTGTCATAATTTTCAAAATTTCTTTATAATGAGATAAATAATGCCCCAACGCAGTCTGTAAGATGTTTTCCCTTTTAAGGGTGTGTGTGAGAGAGAAAGAGAAATTAAATCCATTTCTTCAGCTAGGTCAGAGAAAAGGGGGTTTATTTTATTCATTAAAAGTGGCTAATTCTACAGGCCCCGTGTGATGCCCTCAGGTAGAAGTGCATATGAAGAATGTCTAAAACAGCTAATACAGAGTTGTGGTTTAACAAATGCCATTGTGGTGGCTAGATTTAAATAATCAATTTATTATGTATTTTGGCATACATATTAACAGTAATAATAGATTACTTAAGAGATTTTAATAGATTATTATATGTAAATTAATTTGTTTTTACAATTAATTCATTTTTATAAAATATTCCATTTAACAAATACCTTTACCCCTTCCAATTGCTCTGAACTAGAATAAAATGTAATGAAACAACACTAAAGTAACTGTATTTGCATTTTGATGAATTCGGGGGATAGTCTTAAAGTATGTTAAACAAAAGAGAACAGAATTTTATCGGAACTAGGGAAGCCAAAAGGTCAAGAAGTTTGCTTTTTTTTTTTTCAGGAAGATTAGCCCTGAGCTAACATCTGCTGCTAATCCTCCTCTTTTTTTTTGCTGAGGAAGGCTGTCCCTGAGCTAACATCCATGCCCATCTTCCTCTGCTTTCTATGTGGGACACCTACCACATCATGGCTTGACAAGCAGTGTGTAGGTCCACACCTGGGATCCGAACCAGCAAATCCTGGACTGCCAAAGTGGAATGTTTGAACTTAACCACTGTGCCCTGGGCCAGCCCCAGAAAGTTATTTTTTTAATCTAATACTTTGTTTTGTTACACGGATTTGTCACCATTTAAATGTTTAAGTGTAATGAAGCGATTTTGGTACCGTTGGTAAATGTTTCACAAGGTCAAGATTGTAGAGCCCTTCTATATTGGTTTCCTATCCCTAAAGTTCAGTTTCTTTGGACGTGATAAAGAGCAGACAGAGACTGAATAATTCACTGAAGACCATGCTTGTTTTCAAGGCATCCCCAAAGGATATCTTGAGAAACAATTTGAAATTATTTCTTGACACCATAGACTTAATTTATTTATCTATTGAGGCAAAATTTATTTTGTAGCATATGTATTAAAATCAGTCACGTGTTGTGAAATACCTTTTTAATGTGATTGAATTTTAGCTGTAAAATTGTGTAAATAACCAGAATATTTTAATTGAGAAAAGTAGTGCCTCCCCAAAATTAATTTTTTACTGTAAATTTTAACATGTTGAATAAAATGTAAAAAAAAAAATCATAACACATTGATTTTATTTTTCTATACTGGTTATATTTATCTATTTATTTTAGATTTCCTTTCCTGGATGAAAGTGTTGTCTCCTTTCTAAATTCCCTACCAGTTTGGGAAAAGGCAAACTTGACTTTACCCCGTGGAATTGGTGAAAAACTAATTTTGCGTCTTGCAGCAGTGGAACTTGGTCTAACAGCGTGTGCTCTTCTGCCGAAACGTGCCATGCAGTTTGGATCCAGAATTGCAAAAATGGAAAAGAATAATGAAAAGGCATCTGATAAATGTGGACGGCTCCAAGTCATTTCCTTAGAAAACCTTTCTATTGAAAAGGAGACTAAAACATAATATTTTACAATGTAACAACATTTACTGAATGATGATGATAGAAAAATAAAACACTGTGCTGCTTTATTATTGTATAATGTAGTGGTTTTAAAGTTCATTACGTGGCTTTTTACTTAACTGTATGGTTTATTATAACCAATTTAGTCAAGTTGACACTGGAGAGAGAGAGATTATATTTGAAAGAACATCTTGAATATTTTAGACTGTAATACTGACATTGTTTTGAGCTCTTACATGGTAGTGTCCTGCCAGCAACACTAAAAGAAGGCAGCTTTTACTGACTCTTCATGGTGGCTACATCCAGAAATAATTTGTTATTGCTGTTGTCTGGGGCCTGGTTTAGGCAGGGCCCTATTTAACTGATAAGAGAACTAAGGTTTAGAGAAATTATACAATTGGCTTTAGATTCACACTCCTGAGCAATAATACTTGGTGCTTCTATTACATCTCTTTAGGCAGCTCATTTGCCCCCTCTGAGAACTTTTGAAAACTGTTTTAAACATTCTCCTGTCGCACGAATCTCCAGCCTCTTCCTCCTTGCCCCGTTCTCAGCTCTTGACATGGGCTTTTCACAGAGAGATCAGATTCATCAGGCCAAGAACTGCTCCCACTTTCCAACACGAGAACTTCTAACTGACCTTGTAGGTACCCCCATCCTTTTCCCCCTTCTTGCCATTAGAAAGGGAAATGCGTCGATCCAGCCAACAAAACGCTGTGCCTCCACTTGTTCTCTGTATCCCAACCCTTCCTGCCTTTCAGGAACCTTATGGTCTTCTCTCTCCAGTATCTTCAGCCTCCTCTCTGTAGAATCCTTCCTATCATCATCTAAAATGTTCTGGTCTATACCAATTTAAAATGCATGTCCCTGGTCCTACATCTTCCTCTGCTTACCTCTCGCCTCCCATCCACACTCACCTCTCCACTTTTTCACTCTACTCCACTCCAACTTGACATCCACCCACGTTATTCAGTTGTGTCCACCATACCCAGGTCACTGGGATCTATCCCCAATTAGGGCTGACACCCTTTTTGGATCTGGACATAATCATAGTAGGAAAGGAATTTTAGGATACTGACAAACAAGCCTGGCAAGACTTTCACGTGCCCTGAATTTATTCCCCGGTAAATGTAATGTTCAAATCAGATTTAGATATTACCCGAATAACTCATCCCTCTACCTGAAGGCAAACAACTTCAAGTGTCTGTGTGATCCTGAGCACTAAATTGACATTGCTCATATCAGGAGCAGATAAACTAAGAGGTTTGCCCAGCACCATAGAGTTGAATATAACACTAGTTTTATAATAATAATATAGTTTAATTCTAAAAACAGCTATTATTTATATAGAGCTGACCATGTGCCCGGCACTATTCCGTGAGCTTTACATGTATTTAGTCAGTTGAACTCTAGGGTATCTGCTCCAGCAGGATACTCTCTCTGCGTGGTTTGTGTGTGTGTGTTTTTTTCAGTCCCCAGAGGGCCTGATTGTTTACAAGCTTCTGGCCATTCAATCCCATAAACTCTGGGATGAAGTTCTATGTTAATCCTTAAACAAAGGAACAATCTTGCCCAAGATTTGAGACACTTAGAACAAACCATCTGAGTACCAGAACAAAAATCTTTTAAGTAGAGGCATGTACACAGAGTGTTTGTAAGGACAAACATGCAAATCTCTGAAAGAAGGCAGTGTCTTTTTGACATCCCTTGCCCTGGTACAGCAATCATAAATTTACTAATATTCAGTACCTCTATAGCAGGTAAAATAATGACATGGTTGGAGTAAGAGAAATTCTCCCCTGAAACAGTCACCAAAAACCTCCATGTTGCTAAATTCAGTGGAAAAGTTTCAGTTCTCACCTCCCTTGACCTAACAGCAGCATCCAAAGATGCTGGCCCTTACCTTATTTGTGAGACACTTCTCTTGGCTTTTGAGACCAATCTTGGTTGTCCTCCTGCCTTCCTGACTGCTCACTCTGTCTTCTTTTTGACACCACCCTCTCCATCTGACCTTTAAATATTAAATTTCTCAGGTCTCTATCCTGGGTTCTCAACTGTTCTCTGTTCTCTCTTGACTTCAGCCACTCCCCTGGCTTCAGTACCCTAAGCCTGCCCAAGTGTATACATCTAACCCAAGCTGCCATTCTTAGGCAGTCCTGTATATCTAAGGCATATCTGACACCCCTACTTGGTTTTCTCACAGGTACATCAAGGTCAACATGTCCACAGCTGAACTCTCACTCCTGCCATGACCCTCTGTTGCTCCTGACAGAAATTTGGGTGTCACCTAGACCACCACCTTTTTCAACCCTCCACCCCCATCTAACCTGTTACCAATAGGCCACCTCATTACTTCTCAAACCCATCCCCAGCTCTCCATCTCCACTGCCACCGCTCAGCCTGCACCTTGCCTCTACTGCCACCAGCCCACCATAAACTTTTAGAATAAAGTTCAAAACCATTAACTCAGCGGCCTGCATGAACTGGCCTTCACCTACCACTCCAGCCTAATTTTGTGCCCACATCTCTCTTGTTCTCTATCCAAGGTTTTCTTCACTTTCTCAAAAATTTCAACTTTCTTCTCAGCTCAGTTCATCACCCGTGGTTCCCTATCTCTGGAAAGCTACTTCAACTCTTCGCTTGGGTAGTTCTTTTTCATCTTCCAGGCTCAGCTTAAAAGATCACTTCCTCAGGGCGGCCTTTCCCGGTCCTTGGTCTTGGTTAGCTTTCCTTCATGTGCTGCCATTACATCTTACACCTATCATACTGTTTAAATATAGTCGTGTGATCATCTGTCTAATTGTCTGCCCTGTTGCCCAGGGTCTCCAACTCCTAGCATAGTGCCTGGCTCATAATAAGCGTTCCATACACGTTTGTTGAATGAAGCAATAATGATGGCGGCGGGATTCCAACTCAGGACTACCTCCCAGCCTGGAGCATTCGCCTCTGCCACTCTGTTTTTGTGTTTTCGCAGAGCCAAATCCTGAATGTAGAAAGAGAGCAGCACAGCGCCGGGAGCAGGAGGTGGGACTGAGTTCCCCGGGGAGGGAGGGAGGGGCATCTGTAGGGGAAGGTCTGAGCACAGGGGCCCCTTGGGGCGCGGCCCCGGGACCAATGACTTCGTCTGGCGCCCGGGCGGCCGTGGGTCGGGCCTGGCCGTGAGCCGCGGACGGCAAGGAGGCCTCCCAGGCCCTCGCCTCAGGAAACCACGCCCCGCCCCAGACCTCCCCGCGGCGGCTCCCCGCCTCCTGCGCAGCGGGGCTCCTCACGGTGGGGTCCGGCCTAGTGAGAAGCCACTGGAGACGATCCCTGTCCCCGGCCCCCAGGAATACTCCGGGGAGCAGCGTGGACGCAGCTTCCCTGTCCTAGACAAGAAAACAGTCGTTTCAAAGTAGGTTTCTTCCCTTTCCTTGTGCTTTCTCCTCTCCCGTGTCCGTGTGGGCACAGGTCTTGGACCTGAGTAGGGACAGACTTGGGTTGCTTCTGATTCTGAAGATGTGAAACCTTAGGCACGTTCTGCAGCCTTCTTAGTCCCCATCTCTGTGTTCGTAAAGCGGGGATACCAACGCCTCTCTTTGAGCTGGGTTCTCAGAAAGTGCCTTGCTGAATTAGCAGCATTGGCATCGCCTCTAACTTTTCAGAATTGCAAATTCTCTGGCCTTAACTCCAACCGATTGAATCAGAAACTCCAGGGTAGGGTCCAGCAATCTGTTTGAACAAGCCCCAGGTGATTTCATGCAAGCTAAATTTTGAGAGCTGCTGTATGAGGAGCGAATTAAATGAAATAAATAAAATATCGTGTACAGAGAACCAGGCAAACAGTCGATGCTCAATGAATAGTCGTTATAGTTATTGTTATTCCAGGAACAGGGAGGCATTCAGTAGCACAGAAATGGAAAGTTAAGCAGGCACTTCTTGTCCTTCCTTTTCTTTTAAGCAAGTCTTTTCTTCCTTAAAAAAAAAAAACCCCTAAAAACAAAATAAACATGCAAAAAAGTCTCTCCAACAAAAAAGAATAGGTATGCAACAGTAGCTTCTCATATATAAACTTAAATTTCTTTTTTTGACATATTTCTTAGTATCTTTTGACTTCTGTTGAAAAGTAGAACATGATTAATGTTAAAGGCTTTACAGTTTTAATTGTTTTAAATCAAATTTCAACTTTCTTACGCTGCAATTAGTTTAAGATTGAAAAATGTAATAGAACTACCATATGATCCCAGCAATTCCACTTCTGGGTATTTATCCTAAGAAAACAAAACCACTAACTTGAAAAGATGTATGCACCCCCATGTTCACTGAAGCATTGTTTGCAATAGCCAAGATGTGGAAACAACCTAAGTGTCCGTCGATGGATGAATGGAGAAAGAAAATGTGGTGTACATTTACAATGGAATGTTACTCAGCCATAAAAAAGAATGAAATCTCGCCATATGTGACGATATGGACGGACCTTGAGGCATTATTCTAAGTAAGATAAGTCAGACAGAGAAAGGCAAATACAGTATGACCTTAATATATAGGAATCTAAAAAAAAAAACCCCAAGCTCATAGATACAGAGAACAGACAGGTGATTGCCAGAGGCAGGGTTGGGGGTGGGCAAAATGAATGAAGGAAGTCAAGAGGTACAAACTTCCAGTTATAAATAAATGTCATGGGGATGCAATGTACAACATGGCAAGTATAGTTAATAATACTGTATTGCATATTTAAAAGTTGCTAAGAGAGTAAATCTTAAAGGTTCTCAGGGCTGCCGGGTGGCATAGTGGTTAAGTTTGTGGCTCCGCTTCGGTGGAGGTCATGGGGTTCGTGGGCTTGGAGTCCTGGCGTGGACCTACACACCGCTCATCAAGCCATGCTGTGGTGGCATCCCAGGTGCAAAGTGGAGGAAGACTGGCACAGTGGGGACAATCTTCCTCACCACAATTCTGTAACTATATATGATGATGGATGTTAACTAGACTCAGTGTGGTGATCATTTCAAAATATATACAAATTATCGAATCATTATGTTGTACACTTGAAACTAATGTTGTATGTCAATTATGCCTCAATAAAAAAAGTTAAAAAACAAAAAGTTTGAAAAATGTAATGGTTGACCATAAAAGAATTCATCTAATAAAGATGAAGGTACAGATTTATTTCTCGAGAGATCCAGCTTCATTACCATGGCAAATTTTATTGCTTGTCTTTTCTTTTTTTTTCATTGCAGAAACTTCAAAAAGGACACAATAGAATTAATTAGAAATGTTAAGATTGCCCAAGAAAGGATTACTTAGATTTGATCAAGTTCAAGATGAAGAAACCTACTTGGAAAATTTAACAGTGCAGAGAAATGCTTCTGCTTTTTTTGAAAAATATGATCGGAGTGAAGTACAAGAATTGCTCACTACTGTGCTAGTTAGCTGGTTGTCTGCCAAAGAAGATGTCCGCTCTCAGTTTGATGTCCCCTGTGGAATTATGACTCAAATGAATAATGTCGGCTTTTCCACTGCAATCCTGCTGACTCCTGTGGACCCCACCGCCCTCTTAGACTATAGAGAAGTCCATCAGATCATAAGGGAGTTGGCTGTTGGAATTTATTGCTTAAATCAAATTCCTTCAATCAGTTTAGAAGCTAATTATGATCAGAGTTCTTCTTGTCAATTACCTCCAGCTTATTATGATACCAGAATTGGGCAAATTCTGATCAATATTGACTACATGCTGAAAGCACTATGGCATGGAATATACATGCCCAAAGAAAAACGAGCCAGATTCTCTGAACTGTGGCGTACCATCATGGACATCGATCCAGATGGGAAGCCTCAAACAAACAGAGATATTTTTGCAGAGTTTAGTTCAGCAGGTAAGAGAGTTTGACACATTTTATTTTTATTAGAAGCCATTTTTTAAATTTAAAAGTAATTTATCTGGGCTCAGTTTTATGTATTTAGCTGCATTTCTTAAAAGAGACCTTTTAAACGCCTAAGAATCTTTTCAATAAAATTTTAATTTTTTTCAGTGTCACCAAGAATTATATTTTAAGTCAAACATCTTGCCTCTTTCATCTTAATCTCCAGTTTCTGCAAAATGTATCAGATTCAAAATAACCTAATGGAGAGTTTTCAGTTTATATTTTTTGTCTTACAGGGCCTAGCTAGGAAAATCAGTAATAGAGCCAAGAGTAGAATTGGAGTGCAATGAGAAAAATCTCCAAACTTGAAAACAAAATGATTGCCAGATTGGTTAGCCATGCACTTTGCCGTTTTTATAAACCTCAAATGTGACAGATATAAAAATTGAAGTTAAAGATAGACATGCATCAGCAACCCGAGCTTTGGTTTCCTGAATCTTTATTCCTGATTCACCTAACTGTAATTCCTCCCTCCTGAGGGCTACACTTCTCTAAAGCCTGTAAATAAGCAATAGATACCATTAAGTCCTGGTGCATCTCCTTCAGCATATGTAAATTTTTTATTGAAGCTTTTTTAAAAAAGAAATTTCCCATAGTTCCTTGCAGCAGGCCAAGTGGAATGGGGAGTGAAATGGGAAATGTGTGCCCCGGACAGTGTTTCCAACTGCTTTCATTAATAAAATATATCTAATCACTTTCTAAATAGATTTCCAGAGTTTGTGGGCACAGGCTTAAAAATAAGCCTCAATTCTGGTAAAAATATATTGGAATGTCACTTGACTGGAGGAGAGAGCGTGGTGATAGATTTTATATAGATTTTATTGTATCTGAAACTGAAAAAGGATGACAGCTCATCCTTCAGGAATAAAATGTCACCCCAATGGTTCCTTTCTTAGCTATTCTGAGAACAAATCTGTTTATTTGTGTAGTGCATGTAAATTGGCTGCACATTATGGTGTCGATATTCAAAAATATAATATTTTCAATCTTTATTGCACTTATTTTATATGTAATTTTAATACGGCAAGAAGCTTTTGCATAATCTTACTAAAGCAGAAAAGGATTAATATTCTCCCCTAATTAGCCAGATTTCCCTTAGCTAAATAGAGCTAATAGAAGCTTTTAATGTTAAATCAGGTGGAAATGAACCACATTTATCTGAAATGGACATATAATTGAGAAAATTATCTGAAAAAAAACTGTAGTTTGTCAACGTAAATCTGGTTACTAAAGAAAATACCTTGAAAACCAAAGTAGTTGTTTGTTACGTTCTCAATAAAATGTAGAAGTATTATGATCATTTGAATATTTAATGCAGTTAATATGGTAAGTTAGTATCATGGAATTGTTTAATGGTTTTCTTTCCATATTTTTTTCTTCTCTGTCATTGATAGCTAAATCAAAAATTATATACACACATGTACATAATATATGTTTATAAAGAACTCTGGATTGATTTATTCATTTTACAAATATTCATTTAGCTTTTATTTGTTGCTGAGACACAAAAATAAGTCTGATGTTAAGAAAAAGTAAACAGTAATCTTAAGTGTAAGCTCCATGAAAAAAGGGTCCTTACCTGCCTTGTTTATCCTGGTACATTTAGTGTCTAAAACAGTGCCTGACACATAGTAGGCATCAACAAATATTTATTAAATTGCATTAAATGAATTGAATTGAATTAATGAGTAATTACATGGAGCAGGGGTGTCACACATCTTGAGAGAGTTTCTACCATTACCAGTGGATCAGGTTGGAGATTAAGTCTAGCATGTGTGTCCCAGAGGAACTTTGTAAACTGAGGGAGCAGCCCTCAGCAAGGGTATCACAGGTAGATAATACTCAAAGTTTTGACTGTCCCCAAGTGTCCAGTAAGGATGGTGTCTAGGTACAATGGCCGCAATTGGGTAGTCCTTCCCCCACCACCGCCTTCAGCACTGCGCACTGTTGAGCACTTCTGAATCTTGGTTAGGACCTGAACCACAAAAGCATCTGTTTGCCAACTATGCCTTTTACTGTTTCTGTGGCTGGACTGCTGTGAAGTTCAAATGCCTGAGAATAAGATTTGCTTGGTGACAGTAACACAACTTGACTCACCTGCTTTGGGTTGGGTTTCTAGATGTGTTATTTCAGGTGGCCTAAGTGTAGCAGCAAGCAGTAGTCTCTTGAAAATGGTACCTCTATGTCTCAAAGAAAGTTTAGATAGCTAATAGCTCTCATTTTCATTCAGGGTAAAGTAATCAACTTCTGTTGAGAGCAGACTCTAAGAGTGGTGAGTTTAAGGTAGAAATTCTTCTCCTCTGGGAGAGAATTATTCAATCTGTGGTGTTGGTGGAATCAGCACTAATACCATCTGGCTAGGTCCAGAGTTATATAGGATTGGAGGGTCCCTGGCTTCTAAAACAGTACGGCTGAAACTGGAACCTCATAAATCCTCTCTTGTTCAGGACTTTGGGGGTGATTAGGGTGAAGAAATGCAGAATATTGCCATTAATATCTGGTGAATTCTACTAATGACTGGTCTGGTAGTTCCCTCTTAAATGCCACTGACACTTTGGCATCATGTAGATGCATTTCTTGAAGAGAACATGGCATGGTCAAAGTCTTAAAGCATTCACCCAGAAATGCTATTATTGCTGTTAGTTTAGGACTTCCAAGGCTAGCTCAGGTCATGTAGATAAAATGTAGCTAAATTAAGATGTCCTTTTAATGGTTGATAACCCTTCTATCCTGGAAGTTGTCCAGTAATCCATTTGCTTATCACTAGTAGATGGCAGGGAACATTGTACAAGCCAGGTGATGTCCTCATGTACTTGAATTGGCCAGGATGTCTCTGGAAAACTAAGTCTTGTGGTTTGCCCTTCCTGATCAGGATGATGGCAGGAGCTTTGTGAAGATCTGATCTCCGTGGAGGTTAAGGATCAGCAGGAATGGATAGTGGTTTCCAACAATGTTAGAGCCTTGACAATCCCGACAAAAATTGGGTTTGCTTTTCTTCCTTTTTACAAAGATTACTTGGGACTCTCATTGGAGAGGAGGTGGGACAATGAACCATGATTCCAATCTGGCATGTGTCAAGCAAGGCCAGAGGTGACAGATTTGACTGGCAAAGAAACAAAGAGGTTTTTTTAGATTCAGATATCTAGGTGGAAATTTCCATTGTAGAAGTCAAATTCTGGAGAGTGATCAGGGTTAGAGGTACACATTGAGGAGCCTTTCACATATTAAGGCCACAAGATCCTTTGGATCATCCAGTGAGAGCATCAATAAAAACAAGAGACATGCCATGGCAGGGGGAGCACGTGTCCTGTTGTATAACTAAGGATAGAGGGCTTCTGCTTAGTTGATGACAAACTCACTTACATCAAGCAACTTCATGACCCACCATCTGGTCTATTGGTCCAAGCTGTCCATCATATCTGAGGCCATCCTCCATAAGAATTCCCTCACAGTGGTGCTCCTGGTTGAGGGGATCAGAGATGCATAGGAACATTCTAATCAAGATGTAGGTGGATGGGGCCGGCCAAGTGACACAGCAGTTAAGTTCGCACGTTCCACTTTGGCGGCCTGGGGCTCACCGGTTTGGATCCCGGGTGCAGACATGGCACCGCTTGGCAAGCCATGCTGTGGTAGGCATCCCACATATAAAAAGTAGAGGAAGATGGGCGTGGATGTTAGCTCAGGGCCAGTCTGCCTCAGCAAAAAGAGGAGGATTGGCAACAGTTAGCTCAGGGCTAATCTTCCAAAAAAAAAAAAAAAAGATGTAGGGGGAACGGGGGAGCACCCAGAAACTAGTGCTGTCTTCTTTCCATTGCCTACATTTTCAGGGTGATGTTTAAAATATTTAACCACCAGTGCAGCGTGGCAACAGAACAGACATCAGCCATAATGCTGAAACAGGGTCTCAGAGACCTCCTGCTTGTTATCTGTACCCTTTGCTGGATCATGGAGCTTTCTAGGCTATCCCAGGGTGGGGAGGCATTCAAAGAGCTCTGGGCTATAGCAGTTCAATTTACCAAACAATATGGAAGCCTTCAATATTTTAACAACCAGTGTGGCCATGTTGATACATATCAGATAAATATCAATCCTGGACATTTCTACTTAATTCTCCTTTCCTGGTTGGGAACCCATGTCTTGACTTTTGTGATTCAACCTCTAAAATATCTCAAAATCATCTGTTTTGGTTTGTCTCCACTGCAACACTGATACAGAACACTCTTTTCTCTAGCCTTACCCACTGCACCTGCCTTCTGACTGCTCTCTTTGCCTCACATCCTTTCACTGTATGTTAATGAAGCTGGAAATCTTTCCAAATCCACTCACTATACCACCATGTGCCTTGAGACAAGTGTTGTGTGTGTTTACACCAAAGCACTTTGTGATATTGGCTGCTGGGCCATCAAAGATGAGCATCATACCAGGAGCAGAGACTTTCTTCTCCCTCCACTGCACTTTGGGAGTCTGCTGAAGAACCAGCAGCATCAGCATGCTTCAGGCACTGTAACAGTGGTATAGTGCAAACACTGGTAAATGACCAAGCAGCACACACACTAGACCTGTTAGAGCAGGAAACTCCAACAGAGGGAAAACTCACAGAGGTAGCAGCAGCAATAGGTACAGGTTCCCCATCATGCAACACACCTGGAGCATCACTGTGAAATTTTGCAAGGCCAAGCGCCAGACCCGGCGAAAGGGACTCAGGCCATGGAGCTTTTATGCTACATGATTAAGGAAACGCCAGGTCCAAGACGAGGATGCAAGAGCAGTGTGTGTTATCCTAGGCTACCTCCCAAATTAGAGCCTGAACTGAGGACTTAAGTCAGGGTAGTTTATGGGAAATGACTCCAAGGAACAGGAGTGAGGGACAGGAAAAGTGAATGGACCAGGAGGGAACATCAATCCAGGGATGTACTGTTGAGCTTTCACCAGCTGGCCAATTGGGGTCCGTTTTGCTTGGATTCTCTGAGGAGTCACATACAATAGACTTCAGAATTGTCAGCCAGAGGGATGGAAGAGGGGAGCCTGTAGCCAATGCCTCCTCTCCTCCGCTGTTCAAAGGTTGCATGGGGGTGCACTCCCTGGCACTTCAAGATTTGTTCGTGTATCAGAATGACTGGATGGGTTGCATCAGGAGTCCAACACAGCAGCGGCAGAGAAGCCCCAGGGGAAAATAAGGGCCATGTGGTGCATGAGAGGCAAGGTGCAGTCAGGTTATATCTGTGTGGAGCTGGCTGATTCATCAACAGCTAGAGTAAAAAATACAGTCTAAGAAGAAGTGAGGTAGGGAACAAAAGGTGTCTGATATACAGTGTGACTCTTGGAAACCTGGCTCCAGCTCTGTCCTCCCAGCTTAGTCCTTGTAGTTGCAGCTGTATGATGGCAGGCTAGCAGCGAGAGTCGCTATTTAATTATTCGTGTTTGGGGAAACAGCACTTCCTCTCTTGGCAGAACTGGGAGACTGGATTTAAGTCTTGCAACTGACCATGTGATGGCCTTAAACACTGCTCCAGTGGATTTCCAAGGAACTTTGCAGGGGGCCAGCTCTTTTTCCGGGAGTGCCGACTACTGGGAATCAGTCTGGCCAAATTAAACTTTACCTTGCTGATAACTTTGCACTGTACAAAGCCAAAAGCAAACACAACTCTTCAAAAACAGTAGCAAAGGCAGTAGAGAACAGAGCGCACTAAAAATCTGTTCATATCCAGTTTTCTGAGAGGAGATTTTAATTAGGGCAAGTCCTTTGATGTAAGTAATTCCTGGGTTCTTGGATTTATTGCATGAAGTTTGGGGGATGAGAGAAAGAAGAAAAAGATATTTTTGTGGTAGGAAAATGGGGAAGGGGAACTTTTAGTTTAAATCCTAGAGAAAGATATGACCTTATTTAATACCACAAGCTGGTAAAGTGAAATGTTTATTTTTTATGCCCCTGTCCTTTACCTGAAATGCCCTTCTCCCTGCCATTCACCCACTCTTTCACATTCTTCCCCAGGTTATTGATAGTCATTTTCTGAGACTTGATTCAAAGACAGCCTCCTCTATTTTGTGCACACTATACCATTTTGTATTGAAATTATTGCCTTCACCTCTGTCTTCCTTATTAGACCCTAAGCTTCTCCTGGAAAGCACAGTAAAGTGTGTCTTTTTTATCTTTAAATTCTCAGCACCTTTTACGGAGCTTGGTACACAGTAAACTTTCAATACATGTACAAATTAAATTGTTAATAACAGATAGAATGTAAGAGAAAAGGAATTGTGGGAGACTCTGGTTTCTAGTTTTTGAGGAACTGATAGATAAATAGCACCATTAACTGTGATAGGGAATGAAAGAAAGTGGATTTTGGGGAGAGGAAAGATGAATTTAGTTTGGAAGTGCTTCTGTGACATTCAGGTAAAGATATTTATTAGGCATGGAGAAAGAATCTGGAGTTCAGGAGCAAAAGCAGGGCAGGAGATAAGACTAAAAGAAATTAGCATAGAGGTGAAAACAATGGAATCTTGTGTTCCCTTCCCTCACCTTTCAAATTTAGTTATATCCAATTTTTGCTTAAATCTTTCCTCGTTTTTTACTTTATTATGACTTTGTACATCTTCCTAGCTGATTAGCATAAAGTGCTATGATCACACTTCCTTTCTTTAATAACTTTTTATTTCTCGTCACATGAAAAATTGTGTCATTTTTAAAATTAACTTCGTTTTCCATCACTAACTCGGCCCCAAACTTTTGAACAGAAATACCGACCTCCTGTCAGTAAAGTGAACTCTCACAAACGTGTCTCTGGACACCTTCATCCTCCTGCTTCTGTCCGAACCCGCTGATTCTTCTCTAGGCACTTTCCTCTACTGCTCTCCAAATTCCATTCTCCCATTCTCTGCCCTCCCTCCTGCTCTCCCTTCCCCGGCTCCTTCTCCCTCCCTCTTCACTCCATTCTGTCTCTCCTCTGAGAGGCTTTCCCCACCTGCCTCCGATCCTTGCTGTTTGTTCTCCTGTAGCAGTGAGGCAGGAGCAGGGCTTGCTGACTAGCACGCCCTCACTGCAGGGTGATCAGGAAGAAACCTTACCTTTTCCGTCAGGAGCCCCTCCCCACACACTATATCTGTAGGTCTTTTCTCTTAGACTGGTCTGTTTCCTCCAGTCTCCTGCCTGGAGGGAGGGCGAAGACTGTGGGACCAGAGGAGGAGAAGGGGCTGTGTGTCTCCCCATTCAGGACACAGACTCTCACTTAACCTGGTCGTCAGCACACGGGTTCACAGCCCTTTTAGTGAGGAAGGGAAGGAGCTGTACTATCTGGGAATCTCCTTAATCAGGACTTTGAACCAATCCTTTTTTTTTTTTTTGAATTCCAACACTGTGACTTGTTCTTCAGAGGTTCCAATTTCTAAGCCTTTCTGCTATTCTTTGGTGAGAATTGACTTGCTGCCCATTGGTTCCCACCCACCCAAGCCAGAAAGTTTTAGAGGTATCAACAATGCTATGGCTTATATTTAGATTTTTTTAAGTCAGAAGCACTCTAATTTCTTTATATTCTCGATAATTTAACTGGCTCTTTTGCAAAAGGGAGATGAATCATAGCGGCCATTTAAAAAATCCAAGAGTATGCTGGCTTTTTAAAAGAAGTAGATTTGAGGAAGAATAGAAGGGGCACGTTGATGGATTATTTACACTTTAAGGCACCTATGTTACAAACAAACTCCACGTTCTCCACAAAGTCATATTTTATGATTCCAAGCAGTTTTCTCAAGTCTAGATTAAGGGTAACGTTGTAGATGTAACTATCTTTAGAAACACAATTTGACAACAAGAAAGTCCTTAATTTCGTCATAAATGGGAAGAAAATGTAACAGGAAATCTGTCATTTGTAATAGAGTAAAATTGTTTTGTTTCTTATGATTTTGTCATGCTTAGTGAGCAAGTAATTTCCTTGTTTATTGTATATGTTTAACTTCTATTATCAGCAAAAAGAAGAAATGTATAATACAGGGACTGAAAAAGCAAATTATGCTTTTAACTCAAGAAAGAAGCTGATTCTTTGCTTAAAGGAAGATCATATTTTCTTCTTCTTCCATATTTTGCTTGATTAAAGATGCGACATGTGGAATTGTGTTTTTTTCCTCCAAAGAAGGGAAATTTGTTTTCTTTTAATTCCACAAGCTTGCATGTTTCTTTACCCTGCTTTGTTACCACGCATCCATCTGCTTTTCATCTTTAACAATTATATTGCTGTCTCATTATTCCTTTGCTGTCATGTTAGTAGGAATTCAAGATGAAACTCTGTGTTCAATCTGCTATATTTACGTAGAAGCCAAATATGAAGTTTTCACTAGCTAAAATTTTTCTTTTTTATGTGAAGGTCTGATTGATATTACAAAGGATCCAGACTTTAATGGAATCTATGATGAAGACATGAATGCAGATCCGACATATAATCCCAATAGCCCTGAGGAAAAAGCTATATTTATGAAATATGCTGAAAATATTTTGCTAAAGTTGACATTCAGTACCACACAAGTTCAACAATGTGAAAATGTTTTTATATTTGAAACAGCCTATTGGCTTACGAACGCTATAAAATATAATCAGGATTATCTTGATATTTGTACCTACCAGAGACTACAGCAGAGATTATATCTTCAAAAAAAGGTTATTCAAAAACACTTTGAAAAGAACAAAGAAATCAGAAGAGGGCTAGGATACCTAAAGTTAATATGTTTTCTGACTCCATTTCTACTAAGTTTAAAAAAGAAGATGAAAGTCCCATATTTAACTAGTCTGCTTCAGCCTTTTTCAGGTAAGAGTATCACCAAAATTCAAATTTAAAATATAGATATATGGGGCCGGCTCCGTGGCCCGAGTGGGTAAGTTCGCGCGCTCCGTCCGCTGTGACGGCCCAGGGTTCAGATCCTGGACGTGGCCATGGCACCGCTCGTCAGGCCACATTGAGGCGGCGTCCCACATCCCACAACTAGAAGGACCTGCAACTAAGATATACAACTGTGTACAGGGGGGGTTTGGGGAGACAAAGCAGAAAAAAAAAAAAAAGATTGGCAACAGTTGTTAGCCCAGGTGCCAATCTTAAAAAAAATAAAATAAAATATATATTAAATTTACACTTAAATTCAATTTTGTTTCTAGTATGCAGGTCTAACCATGTAACCTAGCTGTAGCCTGTTAGAAGGAAACAAACAAAATTTAATGTCTCCAAAGTAATTAAAAATACTTGGTATATGTACATAGTACTTGGTATATATTTATACCAATTATAAGGGCTGTTGAAAGACTTAAAATGAGTTCTGAGAAAATGAGAAATAGTCCATGTTGCTGGTGGGACAACATTGTGAATATATCATATCTCATCCAAATTACTCTTTAAATTCAATGCACTTCTACTCAAAACCTCTATCGTGTTTTTCATGAAAGTTTATAAATTGATTCTGAAATTAATATGAAGCACTAAAGGATCATATATGCTCTTACATTTCTGAAAAAGAGATGGAAACATATTTTAAAACTTTAGTAATGTATTGGCACTGTAATAAACAAATAGACTCATGTAAGTGAACAGAGAGCTGAAAGAGGACCATGTTTATATGGAATTTGGCACGAATGTAGTGCAAACTATTCCTTCCACTCAGATTAGCAAGCAATTTATATATTTTCTTTGGTGCCCAATGTAGGTTTATTATAGTGGGCTTTCTATTCAGATGGCAATTTTCAGTAGAAGTTTTGCAAATCATTTAAGTAAATTTTGTATCATGAGAATACAGATGGTGAAGATTATCATCCATGTCTGTGAATTATTTAAGACTGGACTCACGACCATGCTTGTCCCACGTGCAGGTTGGGGGACAGCAGGTGTATGGAACTACCAGGGCCTTGCTTAAAAAGCACGTTAGGTATATGTGTAATGTTTTGTTACCTAAATTATTGAAGCAACTATGACTAAATGTTAATAGTTAATTCCAGATGGTGAGATTAGGGAGTTACATTATTCTTTGTAATTTTCTATACCTTTTATATTTCTCAAAATACAGTATATACTTTATATTGCTGAAACCACATTCTGCTAACAAGTCAAAATAATTGAACAAACCTAATCCTTACTGAGATTTTAGAAAATTAATTTTTTTAAATGTTATATGTGTGGTTTCATTACTTTTCAGAAAAATGGGCTGGTTATTTTTGTCATGTGAGAGATACCCCCCTATTTCTTTTTAATATCTCTTTTTACCTAAACTAGCCCAGGTAAGTTTTTGTTTATTTAACCAAGGATTCTTTAAGGCACAGTGTGTCAAATCTCTTCTGATAATCGAAGGTAAGATATTAATCTTGAGCTCACACATAAAAATCGGTAAGTAGCATGATGGTTTGACTATTTTGAAATGTTTGTACAATGAAACCTCAGAAAATGCTCAAAGCATTTTCTAATAGCATAAATAATTTTATAGACTGAAATTGCCCAGATTTTCATTTCGTGTGGATTTTTCCACTTTGTTTACGTGAGTGAGAATCTAGATCTCCAAAATATGATTGTTATGTGCTTTTTCCACTTTTTAAATAAAAGTTTGTTTTCATTTTTGGAGATGACAAGGTCAAGACAGAGCGAGAATTGCCTCCATTCATTTATGGACGAGATTTTAAATGCCAGAATTTTCACTACAAAGAGAATCAGTATTTTCATGTTCATGGAGGAATTGAATTTGATATCAGCACCCCTTCAATTGAGAATGCTTTGGAAGATTTTCAGGTTTAAATTATTGTTGTTCCTGGAATGTTTTGTCGTTTCACAACTCTTTTATCCTACTCTCCATCCAGAAAGAGTCTCTGGTGGTACAGGCACTTGGCAGCTCTCCAAATGATTATCTTCCCAACTCACTAATTTTTCCATACATTCTGTGACATACATGAATTAAGTCTAACTATTTCTAAGGTACTATGTTAGATGTCAAAGACAAAATGATAAATAAGCTAGATACAACTATCATCCTTGCAGAGTTTACAGACCTCTAATGGACCATATTTGCCCTAGAATAGTTAACCAAAGAGTTCAGTAGAAATCCCTGAATATTTCACTACATGTTCTTCCATTTCCTCAAAGATTAGTATCAGAACAGAGATCCTCCAGAGTTTGGGAACAATAATTCTTCATCTGGAGTTTAGTATAAACATTATACATTTCAATTGTCATATTGTCTATATTGTATCTTTCCTTTTGTGTTTTTTCCTCACTCCCAAATTAGGAATTGGATACACGCAGTCATTATTAGGGTCTTGTGGGATTTTATGTTAAAAATTTGTCACTTACATGTTTAAAATTTTATCTAAAAGAAGTCATAATTGTTTAGATTTGTTTAAAGATATGTTTTTAGTAACATAACTCATATTTTAGAACAATTTAGAAAAAATACGGGATTGTGCTGCTAATACATTTGCAGAAGATTCAGGATACAAAGAATATTACTCAATACCAGTCATGGAATTTAACGGAAAAAGGTAAGGAACTTTCCATAATTATTCACAGTAACTGGAACTTGTTGAAAGTTAGCAGAAAACAAGGAAAGTGTTGAAATGCAAAGGTCTACTTAAAACCTCTGTATGGAGATCCTAGAACAATAATATCCGCCATGAATGACGTACAGACTCAACAAACTAAGTTATATATATATATTATATATATACTATAAGTAAATATATATACTATAAACATAACTGTTATGTTTATTACTTTATAAGGTTTGATACATTCTGTATAAAATTATAGTGATATAATTAGCTCTTACAATTAACACAGTGGTTAAATGGGGTTGGAGGTAAGGATCAAATCCTACGGGCCCACTGAAAGCAGTGGACTCAGCACATACCCCTTCATTTCCATAAGGAATATGATTTAAAATCCTCTTCCTCTGCTGGGTCTTGTTATACCTGTCATCTTTTGAGCAATGTGTTTCTCTCAGTATTGCTAGGGTCCTTCATGTATGGTGTTCTTGGATTTTCATATCTTGGACACTGAAGTTTGGAAATATGGGAAATAGAGCTCAGAGGAGACATTTGGGTTGGCGGTAGAGACTTGAGATTTAAAAGCATATAAGAGAGGTTTTTGTTTTGTTTTTCTTAAAGGCATGTAAGTATTTGAGAGGATAGGGCCAAGTCTAGAACTCTGAAGAAGAGCAGCTTTTAAATGGGGTAGGGAGAAGCAGAGGAGAGAGCAAAGGAGAGTGAGAGGAATGATATAGGCAGAGGAGGACCAAGAAAGTATGCTAATATAGAAGCCAAATGGGGAGAATTTGAAAAATATGGAACTAATCAAAAGCACCAAATTCAATAGAGAAAAAGGCCAAATCAATTTGATACTGAAGAGAGCCCTCTAAATTTGGCAGTGACTTGGTAAGAGAATTTTAGTTGTGGCTGTACAAGGCTGTATGTATTGAGTTGAAGGGTAAAGTTGAGGAGAGTCCGTGGGATGTAAAGAAGTAAAGACACAGATTGCAAATTTCTTTCAAGATGCATAGCAGTGAGGGAAATAAGAGAAATAAGGCAGAGGGAGAAGCAAGATAAAGAATGAAAGGTGGATCTTTCCATTGACTAGTGCCTGAATGCACACATGGTACTAGAGCTGAAGTCAAAGACCGTGTGGCTAACGACCTCCATGATATTGAAGACAATTAAGCAGCAGATCTCATGCCTCTGGAATGGACAGTTGGCGTGCATCTCCCTGGAAGAAGAATCTCTCGCTCAGGGACCCAACACTATTGACATACCCCATGTACAGTCCTTCCCAAGCTTAATAGTGTCCTGGAGCCACCTCTGAATAAAGCTTTATTCTTCCAGGTTCTAATGTCTGGCTGGACACTAATGATCCTGGGAATGGAGGGAGGCAGCTGGGATGAACGCTGTTGGTGAGAGGTTGTTGTGAGTGAAGGAATATTGTTGGCATAAGCACACCGCCGTGGCACTGTAAGGGATCCAGTCATGTTGTTGCAATAGGATGTTACAGTGGAATCGTTTCTCTAGTTTCTGATTAATGCACAGCATTTGGTCATCGGTGTTGGTGAACTGTAGACAGATGGACTTGAATTTGCAGGCTTTCAAAACCAGCATAAGCTTGTTTCCCAAACCCAGCCAGCATACAATAACAGTAAAAATCTCAAGTGGAGTAATAATCAGTATTTTCCTGGCTCCTGTACCAATTACTAGAGAACATTCGGTTCCCTGTAAAATCCACCCCCACACAATTATTCCTAGGAATCTCATATGCCCATAGATCAGCTCTCCGAGGTAATATGAGACATCTTCAGTTTCCTCCTTTCATGCCTGAGCTCCCTGTAATGATCCACCACTGGGCCCCTAGAGCCCAATAGACACCATGAAGGCAACTCAATACTAATGCCATTGTTGTCTCTGGCACTGCTGCTCCTGGTTGTGGAGCTGGTGTCGCCTTGGGGCTGGCTCCTCCTGATCCCTGCTAAACAGCATGCATCAACTGTGACACATGTTGGAGCCAATCCAATGAAATAGGGAGAATTTCTTTCCTTACTTATTTTATTGGTTTCAAGGAAGTGCTAATAATGAACCCCTAATAATTTCGTGCAAAAACATCTCTTTCAGTCATTTTGCTTTCAGTTGTTCCTTTCTGTAGCATAGGGATCATTCTATGTTGGTGCTGGACCAGAGAATAATCTGAATGATGGAAAAACATGCCATCTCAAAATCTCTCTCTTCTTTGATTTTAGGGGCATTTTATTGTACCAACTACGTGTATCTTGATGTTCTCTTTCCTCAGAGTGATTTATTTCCTAGGAGACTCTTGGTTCCTTATGAAAATAGGACCAGTTCCACTGGCTCTCCAGGCATACCCAGAAACATCTAAACCCTAGATTCATTTTTGGCTCAGGTTGGGTTCTCCCACTATTTCAGAATCAAAAAATAGGGGCCACAGTTCAGATACCCAGGATTTGGCTGTCCATAAAGGCAGAAGAACTCATGAATTATTAAGATGACAATGATTGAAGAAAATAGATGACTAAAATGTCCTATTTGGGGGAGAGCATACCAGCATCATGATACTGTTGTAGACGTTAGGAGGCAGGTCAGAATAACTTAATGTGACAGTGGCGTGTCAGGGAAGTGTGGTATTAGAAGCTTCTCACCACGGTCCCTAAGCTGGGTGCAGAATCCCAGGCAGAAGAATATGGAGGGAGTTATTTTAAAAGCGAGGCCCCCTTAAAGTCCCTTCACTACACTTAAGGTTTGAGTAATAACAGTGGTATGTCTCTGTGCTGTACTTGGATGAGGGCTCCCTCACAGTGCCGCCATCTGGGCTTTCTGGGCTTCCAATAATCATCTCTGCGTGGGCCAGTGTTGGCCTAATGTGCAGTCTGTGTATCCAACCTTAGGGGTCACAGAATCCTGTGGTCAGAGACTTTCTCAGGGTACAGCGACTTTTACCACCTCCTTCTTCAGTTTCTAGGGTAGGACAGCACCCTGCTGGTTCTGGATGTTTGATGTACTGGATGACTAAACTGAATTTCCAGCCCACCTTCCCTTAGTATTTGGTGAATTTATAAGTCTGTTTCATTGCTTAAGCAGTGATCCAAGAGTACATCACGGAGGACCAGGGCCCCAAAGGTAGGTAGTAGCTCCTGTTCTCGTGGCCATTTAACACAGCCAGGGCCAGTTCCCTGAAGAAGTACGTGAAAAGACAGAGGTTGCTGGTGTTGAGATTCTGTTGGAGCAGGATGATACAGAGCCGAGCCAAAGATCAGAGGACATTCTCAGTGTGATGCTCGTGGAGGGAGTCTTGTGGGACTCGGAGTGTCTGTTTGTGGTGGCCACTCTTATCAGTGTACATAATACTAACGGAAGGTGAGCTATATTCTTCTGGAAATTCAGTTTCGTTATCCAATACACATCAAACATTCACGTCTGACCTATACAGCTCCTTAAGGCCCTAGAGCCTATAAACACTGATTTAAAGCCTTCAAATCTGAGTAGGATTCAGAATACCTGCCCCTTGGTTTTGGAAGCTAGTATCTAGTAAGGTAGGTAAGTCTGCATTGAGGAAGGTGGCACCTCCAACAAGTCAGGACCTGTGGATAAAGTGACCACCACCTGGCCTGGCACTATACGTGCGAGATACAGGTGAATACAACCTTTAGATTATATTCTGGTGGTCCAGTTTCCTTTTGGGAGGAGGGGATGGTAGATAGGAAGAACGACAGCCTCAAATAAATGTGAACAGGTCCTCAAACTTGCCTCTATCCGTGTAGAGGTCAACTGTATTCAGGAAACGGGTTGAAATAAAGGTCAAGGAAAGGGAGTGTTAGCCTCTGACCAGTTCATAACAGAATGTTTCCTTAAGACCTTCCTTTAACTGACCCGTGGGGCTCAGTGATTCCCCCTCAGCTTCTGGGCAAGGAATTTCCTTAGCACAGAGAGACTCCAATTCGCTTCCCTGGACATTAGTATGATGGAAGAAACTCCTCAGCACCCGAAGGAGAACGGATAGTCCCTGAGTAGCAGAATGAGGAGCCATAGGAGGGGGTGGCCACTGTCAAGAATACTGTATTTACAACAATCAACAGTTGCATTTAGAGCGGAAACCCAGGTAACATTAAGAGGCCTCCCACCGGCAGAGGTCGAGTCAGCTGCTGAGGCGCTTACTGCCAAAATCTGGGGATGGGAATGTACCTCATGGGCAGAAGTGGAGGAAGGCATCGTTTTCTTTTACCTGTGATGATAAGCAACCCCGGGAAACAGAGTCCCTCAAAATTTTGTCATTTTTCCATTCCAGTGTGATAGGGATGGAGGCCGTTGCCTACCTGTGTCTCAGGGACCTGGGGGTGGGGGTTCCTCTAGTCTACTGCAGCGGTTAGTAAAAGTCAAGGAACATTACCCAAAGCATCATTCCAGGTCAGACTCAAGGTAAACTCTTGAGCAAGCAAATGTAGACATAACTAAATAAAAAGTGTTAATACATAAATTTATAAGAAGAGAGTAAGCAGATGGTTAGAAGGTAAACCCAGAATCCTTCAGCCAGAGTTGGAATTTCCGGTCACTTTTAGACAGTGCCTCTTGTCACTGGCATGGGAAAGGCAGAGTCAATTAGAAGGACCAACATGGAGAAGACATTTGTTATACAATAACTCAATTAATAACAGTTGATAACCATGTTATTAAAATATTTACAGTCAACTTCAATTGAAACTACACTTTGTATTTAATTGTTATAGAAAAATAAAGTTTTGCCAGCATAGGAAAAGAAAGTAGCAAATCACTTCAAAGTCAGAAAAACTTATCTTTTTTCTTAATTTTTTATAGCTATTATGTGATTTATTTTGAATTGGAAACTTTCTATCAGCAACTATATAAGACACAGTGGTGGGGAGCCATAAATGAAATAGTCAACAATCTGAGGCTGAAAAGACTTCCTCTGACAGATGCTCAATTACACGAACAATTCAAGAAAAAATTTGGTTTCAAAAAATCTATGAAATGCAAGGTATTTCAGTGGTTACCACATAATGTAGTGTAAGGAATTATATATTGTAATAAATATATGTCTAAAACAAATTTTTATCTTAGGGATAAACAATAGGTTAAATAAAGTCTTCACTATGAAATGAAAATTCCATATTTTGGTGGCTGAAAAGCTGTACGCTTCTGGATTAGAAATTTCTGGCAGAGTTACAAAACGAGCTGTTAATGAACTGGATTGTGATTAATCTTAATAATGGCTAATATTTATTGAATGCTTGTTTTGTACGCTGGGCACTATTATAAGTCCTTTCAACCGAGTTTTCCAAGGCACTCGGTACTATTGTCATTCCTATTTTACACGTGAGAAATTTGAGGTACGCTGAGGTAAGGATCTTTCCCAAATCACAGAGCTGGTAAACAGCAGAGCCAGGTTTCAGTCCTGGGAACTAAACGTAAGGAGCACACTGGCATCCTGAGTCAGACTCCACATGGCTTCAAGGAGCCCTGACTTCCGGGTTCTGGAACCGATAAATTGAGTGGTGAGCTCACCACTTTCAAAGGGTACGCTGGTATCTACTTACCATTTACTTGTTTTAATTCCATAAATTTTAAAGTTTAATAACCTGTTAATTGAATTTTAAACTATTAAGTAGTCAGAATGTCTCAAAGAAAACGTAACATTTTTGCCTCTCCATTTTGAGACCTAGAGCAAAGGAGACAAACTGTATTCCTATAGTTATATATTTCGAGTTTCCAAACTTCTAAATGAGATTATTGTTAAATGAGAAAAGGAACCAGTGATATCCGGTTGCTTTTTTTTTTTTTTTTTTAAATATTGGCTCTGAGCTAACAACTGTTGTCAATCTTTTTTTTCTTTTTCTTCCCAAAGCCCCACAGTACATAGGTGTGTATTCTAGTTGTAGGTCCTAGTTATGCTGTGTGGGACGCCGCCTCAGCATGGCCTGATGAGCGGTGCCATGTCCCTGCCCAGGATCCAAACCGGCGAAACCCCGGGCCGCTGAAGCGGAGCGCCCGAAATTAACCACTTGGCCACAGGGCCAGCCTCTCCATTTGCTTTTAAAGTACTTCAGAAATATATTTGTCTACCCTGTTTTGTCTTCAAAGAAGGATCTACAGCTCCTCCTAAAAAAAGAAGAAAAAAAAACTTCCCAAAAATATTTTTTAAAGTTCTCAATGTTTCTATATAGCTCTAACAAACTTAATCATTGCCCAGTGAGACACTTTCCTCATGGATTTTGTGAAAATTCTACTGTAATTGAGCACCAATCATGTCATTGTATTAATATATTTCGTTGTCCTTTTTTCCCCTTAAACCAAATTTTGGCGAATTCTGAAAAGACTAATTCTAGGCTTCTTAATAATTTTAGAGCATCCCATTTGGTATGAAGTCTGCTGTTGAAAGAGGATTATCTGCTGTTTTCCATACATTTAGCCGTAAAACCTCCAGCTCAACGATCAATGTCTCAGATGAGGCAGGTTATGCTATTTTCCATCATGCCGCTTTACATAACAGAGTTCCGATTATCTGCCAACTGTGCAAAGCCAACTTCAACGTCAACCAGAGACGCTTTATTATGTATAGCCAAGGTACCATAAAGTCTTTAAGTCTAAAATGTTTTCCTTTTACTTACCCCTTCCTATTCAGCATTAACAATGCATGCTGATTTTAGAGCAAGGTTAAAATTTGGTATTGGTACCTAGAGCAAAGGTGAAGTTTTTGTTTCATTTATCTCAGAGGAGCTCCTTTTAGTTTACTACGAATCCCCTATTGCTCCCTTATATAGTGTTGTTTATTTGTTTATTGCGTCTCCTTCAGTTGAATATATGCTCCATAAAGGGCAAGGATGTGGTTGAATTTACCATGGTATCCTCATGTCCAGAGGAAAGCCTGGCATTAATGGGTGCTCAGGAGTAGATATTGAGTAAATTCATGGATGACAAATGCAGAATAGCATTTGATAATGACTGGCATAATTAATATACAGTGATGTACTGTAGAAATTCAGAGAAAAGATCAATAAAGATCCCAGCAGAACATCCATTTCTTATCCCAGGGTTCTCAACCAGGGAATAGTTTCTTCATACTACATAAACATATTTAATAACAAAAAATTTATCTATAATAATAATTTTATGATTAATAACCCCTTAATTTGTTAATCTAGTTTAAACTTTAAAAGGCATTTTATCAAATTATTAGGTATACATACATATTTACATATTCATTGGAATAAATGTAACTAGTATGAAAATAATAAAGTTGAAGATGAAAGTGGAGAGTCTCCATAACTGAAGAGAGAAGTAGAGAGAGAGTATCAGGAATGGCTGATGCACCAATATTGGCAATGAGAAATGCGATTTTATGTTTTACTAGGTCAGCTATCTTAATAAGCTGTGCTAAATTTGCACACACCAAAACAAAATGTTCTGCTTTAATCCTATTCACTACTAATAAATTCTGTACGCTATCAGTATGATTAAAATGTTTTGATATTAAGATGTTTCTATCAACTCAATTGAATATTCAATACAGAATGAACCCAGTTAAAATAGAGCACAAATTCAGTCAAATTTAAATGCAATGGGTAAACTGTTTTGTAAGATGTGTTATATTTCAAACCTTTTTGGTGTGAAAAAAAATCTTTGGTAAATTAAAGTTTCTCATTCCTACTGTGACAACTTGGATTTCCATTTGCTGAGAATTGGGTAGATTTTGAAGTATGGAAAATGTACAACTCTACTGGCAATGTCTATGTGTCATTACTTAACTGACACAAAAATCACAGCCCCAGTGTGAGTTTTGACCAGCCACTTGAGAGGCAGCGTTTCCAGGTCGGCTCGGACACAGGGTCAGGTGCACCATGCCCAGGTGGCTTGACTGAAAGTTGCACTCAATCCTATTTGATGTAATCCCGCCGTCTGTATCTAAATATAGTCCTGTGGTTCCTATTCATGAGTCTATTTTGATTAATTTAGGAAACTGGATTATTATATTATTAATAAAAATTATTTATAGACATAATTAAAATAAATACAATTATTGTTATATTAATAATCATACTTCTGTGTGTATTCTCTTTTAAAACAGAGTCATCCAAAATGGACGTGAAAAAAGAAAGAAATGGTAAGATATAAATAAAATATTTGGTGCATTTTAGAAGGTTATTGCATGTATTAAAACTTTTCTTATAGTATATAATCTGCAAAATGCTCTGTTTCATGATAATGTCGCTTAATGAAGTTTGGTATACATTTTGAAGCAAAAATTTTTTCAACCAATGGGTCTTTAGTCATATTACTCTTAAGTTTTGGAGGTTTTCTTTCTTCCTCCCTTCCTTCCTTTCTTTCTTTCTCACTGTGGAATTTGCTGTCATCTCTACTTATTTTTATAAAATCAGGCTCAAAAGTGGGTTTTACACATTAAAAAAAAAAGCAGTTAATATAATTTAGATATGCTGCCACCTAGTGACAGTAACAATCTATGAGGTCTGAGGAATGAGTCGCTCTTGACTGAGGTAAGAGACTTGACCTAAGTATTTGATATGGAAAAGGCAGAAAAGTTTTAAGAGGCTATACCTTTTTTTTTTTTTCGGTGAGGAACATTGGCCCTGTTGCCAATCTTCCTCTCTTTTTTTCCTCCCCAAAGCCCCAGTGCATAGTTGTATATCCTAGTTGTAGGTCCTTCTAGTTCTTCTATGTGGGACGCCAGCTGGTCATGGCTTGATGAGCGTGCTGGGTCCACACCCAGGATCCTAACCAGCAAACCCAGGGAGCAGAGGCAGAGCAAGCGCAGTTGACTACACCACAAGGCCGGCCTGAGGGTCTACCTTCTATATCTCTATATCTAAGAGACTATACCTTCATATTCTATATAATTCAAGAACTTTATTTTTTTTAAATTTTTTTTTGAGGAAGATTAGCTCTAAGCTAACTGCTGCCAATCCTCCTCTTTTGTTGAGGAAGACTGGCCCTGAGCTAACATCCATGCCCATCTCCCGCTACTTTATATATGGGACGCCTACCACAACATGGCTTTTTTGCCAAGCGGCGCCATGTCTGCACCCGGGATTCGAACCAGAGGACCCCAGGCCGCGAGAAGCGGAACGTACAAACCTAACCGCTGCGCCACCAGGCCGGCCCCAAGAAGAGTTTATTTTTAAAGAAACTATTTACAAAGGCCTGAACTTTGTAAGAGGAGCCACCTTCCGTGGGTGGAGGAACGCAGCTAGCCTGAGATGACCTCAGAGAGGGAACCTCGGAGAGAATGAGTATCCTGACCTCATTCTCTTCCTTTCTCCAATCTCCTGCCAGGGTTCCCCATTGGCAGAGAATGACAAGAAGCCAAAGGGCTAGGGATGCTAAATCTGCAGGGGAAGAAAGCAGGGAGGGTGCTAAAGGGAGGTGAGTGGACCTGGAGGGGAAAGAGGAAGCTTATCCCACCCACCTGCCCTGTGGGAATTTGCAGTTGAGTAACAACAGTGGATCTCCTACATTATTGCTCTTTTTTTTCTTTTCTAAGTATCACTTGTGGCAACCTTGGATAGTATTATTTATTTGTTTATTGCGTTTCCCTCTCTTGAATATAAGCTCCATAAGGGCACGGATTTGGTTTACTGGGCCATGGTGTCCTCGTGTCCAGAAGAAAGCCAGGCATTAGTAGGTCCCATCAGGAAATAGCTGTTGAATGTTGAATAAATGCATGGCTGGATAAATGCAGGGGAGCACTGGACAATCACTGGCATAATTAATTTGCAGTAATGTCATATAGAAATTCAGAGAAAAGAAAGGTAAAAATGGCTTTCAGGTCCCCATAGAGCATCTATTCTTTAGACCAGGGTTCTCAACCAGAGAATAGTTTCTTCAGACTACGCCAACCCCTCCAGAACTTTCTTGATTCTAGCTTGTCTTCGGGTAGTGTTTCTCAGCTTCAGCAAGCACTCTTGACATTGGGGACAGGACAGTTCTTTGCTGTGGGGCGCCATCCTGTGCACTGTAGAATGGTTAGTAGCATCCTTGGTCTCTACTGGCTAAATGTCAGTAGGAACCCCCACCCCAGTTGTGACAACCAAAAATGTCATCAGACATTACAAATGCCGGGGAGGGGGAGGCACTTTATCTCACCACTCTGGGATAAACTTTTAAGTACGTAGGGACCACCCAGGGATCTTGTTAAAATGCAGATTCTGATTCAGAGGGTCTGCATGGGAGCCAAGATCCTGCATATCTTTAGAGCAGGAAGTGGGGGATGTAAGAATAGTACTCCTGCCCGTGGGGTGTGCTGAAATCTTGGGGGGGGGGAGGGTGGAGAGGAGAAGGAGAGGGCAGCGGGGAGGCTAGTGTGGTTTAAAAGAAACTCTTCAGGTCATTTTGATATTTGTCCTGCTGAGAGCAGCTGATCGCATTTCATTGATTGAAATGGACCAGCATGTTCTGTAGTCCTATGATTAGGTCTCAGTCTTTTAGAGAGCCTGTGGTATCGGACTGTGAACTTCGACCTGCTTCTCAGTCCATCCTTCCCCCTTAGGTGGGTCAAGATGGCTAGAGCGAGCTGAAGTTGGGTGGGTTAGGTTCTAATAAAACCGCAAGTTAGGCTCTCGTCAAATAGTTTCTCCTGAGGACAGACAGGCCTTGTTAAGAGAGACAGAATGCTCTGGTGTATTTCAAAATGCTTCCTTTTCCCCGCCCCCTGCTGGAAACACGAAGGAATTTTTCTCTGATATTCTCTGTGAGGACCCGGTTGAGCTCCTGGAGGTAAAACTCAGTGAAATATGGGGGTTTCCTGTGACTGGGTCCCCCTGGAGGTTTAACCTCTCAGACTTGCCCACGCTGAGCCGCCAGCAATTTGTCAATTACGGTTCAGGTTTTTCTACACAAGAACTGGTTCCTGTGGCGGTTTCTGCTGCAGTAAGTTGTGATTCTCCGCCTGTTTGTCTCCTCAATTCTGGGGACAGCATTTTTGCCCTGTGACCTCACTTCTCTAACGGATCTGAGAAAAGTTGTTGATTTTTCGGTTTGCTCAGCTTTTTACTTGCTGTTAGGATGGATTAGTGACCTTGAAGCTCCTCTCATGCCAGACCAGAAATTGGAAGACTAAGCAGTAATTTTAAATAAATAGATTTGGGTCAGATGTTATAGACTATCGAAGGTTATGATATAAAATTTAGACTACTAAGGCAGGCTGGAAGCCATTGGAAGTTTCTGAGTTGGGAGAAAAACAGTGCTTCACTGAGGAAGTACCACTTTTAGGCCGAGGAATGAATAACAATTAGCTAGTTCCTAGCTGGGAAGTGGTTTTTGGGAGACGGAAGCTTTCAGACAGCTGGATTAGCCCGGGGTGACCGGATAATTCATCATCCAAATCAGGGGGTTTTGAAAATGGAAGGGGCACTGTTAATAATTATGCTGGGGTGACAGGCATAGACCTGTACTTACCTGGGCAACCTGGGATAGGTGGTCGTACCCTATGTTTGAGGAGCAACAAGAAGGCCTATATGAAGAGAACAAGGTGTATAGGTTGTGGGGGCTTTTTGGGAGAGGGGCAGGTAGCTGGTGGTTCAGGTTAGGTTGGAGCCAGCAGATCCTTCTCTTGTACTCATGATCAGATGGCCTTCAGAAGCCACAGAAGAGTTGTAAGCAAGGAGGTGAAAAGATCAGATATACATTTTTTGAAAAAATGGATTGGGGAAGGGCAAGAACAAAGGGGGGATATCAGTTGAGAGGTAATTATGGCTTGGAGTAGGGTGGTGGCAGTAAAGATGGGTTCTAGAGATATTTAGACTTGGTGATAGACTGGTTATGGAGATGAAATGAGAGGGAGTTGCCAAGGAGTCTTTCAGGTTTCTGGTTTGTAGAACCGGCTGGATGATGATAACCTTCCCTGATTTAGGGAGCAGTGAAAGAGGACCACGTTTGGAGAGAAAGATAGGAGTTCAATTTTGAATATGTTAAGTTTGAGGTGGTGCAGGGAGATGCCCCGTGAGAAGTTGGAAGTCTAGATCTGGAGCGCGGAGAAGAAAGCAGATCTAGAGAGAGAGTCACCAACTTGTAGATGGTAGATGAAGCCGTTGAGAAGATAAAAAGGCCCAAGATAGAGACTTAAGGCTCATTTAGACATCGGAACAATGAGAAGGTCCCAAAGGAGAGTGTGAAGTGGTAGTCAGAGAAGTAGGAGAAAAATGGGAAGATATCATATCACAAAAGCCACGGGAAGAAACTATTTTAAAGAGGAAGAAGTGGTCACCTTACTGGTGAGAAGAAAGTAAGATGAGAATTGAAAAACACCCACTGGATTTAGTGACATAGAGTCCTTTTGTGAGCATATTTTTTTTCAGTTTCAAAGGATCTTGTCGCCTACTACGAAACATCTGAATAAAATGAGAAATAATTTAAACAAGAAATAGTTTATTTCATCACAAGACTATTTTACACCTTGACTTAATTTTTAAAATATTTAATATTTTCAATGTTACTTATTCTTAACTTATAAAGAAGTATTGATTTTTAATGATCAGACATCCCGACTTAAATAAAGAAGTACAGAATTGCTTAAATTAATTCTTTTAGTGCTTATCTTGGAGCTATTATTTCACATAATTCTAAGCTCTGTGGTTGGATGTCAAAAAAGCATGTTTTTTAGGAATGTTAAATCTTTGACCCCGGAAGTAATTGTCCATCCCTTCTAGGTCCAACACCTCTACACCTGGCTGCGCAGGCTTGCTCATTGGAAACAACCATCTGTCTACTCTGTTTCAAAGCTGATTACACACTTTCGGAAAAAAGAGGCTGGATGCCAATTCACTTTGCTGCTTTCTATGACAATATCTGCATCATCATTGCCCTCTGTAGGAAGGATCCTAGTTTACTAGAAGCTGAAGCAACCGCTGAGTAAGTTCTTAAGCATTCATTAAAATATAAATTTCTGCTTTCATGGCTTGCCCCAAATGCTGACACTAAAAGGAATGGTTATTATGAATGATTTGGGAGGCTATGTAAGGCTTACTCTGCTGTCCTTTCTGGTTGCTATCTTCTCTATCACTTATCTTTAGAATTTATAAAAATGGGAACTTCTATTAACCTATGCATGTTTTCTGGAAGAATAAGGAGTATGGCCTAGGAGGTTTGTCCCAAACTTTTCCCCATAGTGTGGTGCTACAGAGTAGTTTGTCAGGTTTACCACTTAGTGCCATGAAAGAAGCCTGAGACTAGGGAGGAGAAAGTTGCTCTAAGTTGAACCCTACACAATCAGGAGGCAGTCCAAGGGCTCCAGACCACAGTAGATAGGCCTTAGACAGCAGGAGAAATATCCAGTGCTATCCAGAAGAGAAATATATTCAAAAGAAGAAAATAACTTTGCAATAGGGAAATATCCCAGTCTTCTGTTCGACAGTTTAGCTGAGTACCAACCTTTAGGGAAGAGGTATAACTTCTCCTGAGGGTGCATTCTTGGCTAGTAATCTAAAGACCAGCTTATTATTTTGACTGTCTGAATCTGATTTATGCAGAGTTTCATTCAGATATTTCTGCCTCTTTGTGTAACCTGTCTATTCTTATTCAGTGAAGAAATTAATCTTCCCTCTTGCCTGAGGCAGAAATATGTGTGGAGAAAGCTTCTGGAAAACTAGGGTCTCTGGTTAATAGATTCTCTGACTAATAGATTCTGGAAAGATCCGTGGAACGTGGAGACCTGAGTTCAACTCCTGGTCCTGTCGTATTTTGACAGTGTGTCTTTGAGCAGTAGGGAGCTAAAGGACTGGGTGGATTGTAAAAGATGAAAGAATTGGATGTCAGAGGTAGAAGTAAGAAGCTATCTGTGACCATAAGAAAGAAGCAAAGGATTAGTGGAGAGGACAATTACCAAGGTTGAGATCTATGTGGACCTAATGAGGAGTGTCACCATGCTGATGTGTACAAATATGGAGCATAAATGAGGGTATGACAAGGAACTGAGAGATCAGAGCACCGATGGTAATTAGCATGGATGTTGAAGTCATTGACCATAGGAGGAGGTGTGTTGGTGAGGTGATACATGAACCAGGATGGTGGAAAAGGACCCAACTAGGAAGGGGACAATGGCAATATGGAGCTGGAAAGGGTAATATAATTTTATTTTACAGCATATTTTTCAAATGAGGAAAATCAGAGTGATGGTGTTAGAAGTAAAAGTGGTCTTTATTCCTACCACTGAGTAGGAGAAAGCAAGCAAAGGGAGAATGGTCTTGTTAAAGTAGAAAAGAGAGACAGTGAAGAGACATTTACTCAGAAAGGAGAGTTTCCCCAGGGCCCAGGAAAAAGTAGAGGAGAGGCTTGGGGCCAGCTGGATAGAGGTGAGACTTCAAGGACAGGCAGCAAGAGAAGGAGGTTTCCCGAAAAGAGGAAGGCATGAGTATAAGGATAAAAAAGTAATGTTTGAGGCAATCTGATATGGTGAAAAGAGAAGGAGGAGGGAGCTATTATCAGGACTGTGCTAAGCACCTTGTTCATCCCTTACACAAACAGTCAGCTGATTGCTGCTACCCTCATTCTTTTGCAGATGAAGGAAGTAACCCAGTTTGCTTAATTAAGGTCACATTGCTAGTCAGTAGATCTATTAGTTAAGATACAGGTGAAGCTGCTGTGACAAAGAGACCAAAAGAAATTTGTAGTTTAAACAAGGTAAAAGTGTAGTTCTTTTTCATGAAGTCTGGGTGGGTGGTCAAGGGCTGGCACAATGGCTTGACAATATGAGGGACCCAGACTCCCTCTTTTGCTTTTTCACATGTGGTTTCCGTATCCTGGTACAAAATGGCAACTCCTGCTGTCATTATGCTTGTTTTCCAGCCATGAGAAGAAAGAGAGAGGAAAAGTAATGACACACACCTTTTCTCTTTTAGGGAGTTGCCAGGTAACTTCTACTAACATCACACTGGCCAAACTTAGTCGTGTGGCCACACCTCTCTGTGAGGGAAGCTGAGAAATGTAATCCTTGGCTAGATAGCCACGTGTCCAACCAAAAGTTCTTCGTTATCTAAAAAGCAGATCGTAGGTTTTTGAGAAAAACCGTTAGTTTCTGCCACAATGAGGAAGCTGGGATTTTAGAACTGGACGTGAAGTATAAAGAAATGGGTTGGAATACTACCTGAGCCTCAGTTTCATCATTTGTAAAATGGGCTGATAATACTTGCCTTGCTTTTTCCTTCGCTCATAAAGTTGTTGTAAGGATTGGGTGAGATAGTGTGTTCTAAGAACTTTGTGCGTTATCAACTTCTGAACAAAGTGTAAGGCATGATAACTAAGTTGGGAGGGAGGGTCAGGACAGCCAAGGCAAGAGAGGCAAATCTATTGACGTGGGGAATGTACAGAACAATAACACGTAAGGAGGAGAAAGTGATCGTGTAAGTCAGACTTCCTCTAAGAGCAATTTGGGTAGTTTTACAAAGAGTAAATCTAACACTATGTGTGTGCTCAATTAGTATGACATGTTCCTTCATTTTTAGGAATCAGTGTACACCACTCTTACTTGCTGCCACTTCAGGAGCACTGGACACTATTCAGTACCTATTTTCTCTTGGTGCTAACTGGAGAAAAACAGACATTAAAGGAAATAATATAATTCATTTATCAGTGCTAACCTTTCACACAGAGGTCCTCAAGTATATAATAGAGTTAAATATTCCTGAACTCCCAGTTTGGAAAACTTTGGTAGGTGAGTATAGAACACATAATCTCTTCATAAATAAATAATCTGATTATTACTCAGTTTAATTATTGATACTTACTCTGAAATAAAGCAAATAAAATAATACGTGCATATATTTTAAACATTTAAAAATCATAAAATAAACATTTTTGAGTTAAAACCAGAAATGCAAATCATACTGAACCATTTTTGTGTGTGCAAAAGTAGTTTTATTTCTAAATTAAAATAAAAGAATAATAGGCCAAAGAGACTATATTTTACACAATTATACTTATTTTTATTTTTCAACTTTCTCCAAAAGGATATTAAAAATTTTTTTTTTTTCCCGAGGAAGATTAGACCTGAGCTAATATCTGCCAATCCTCGTCTTTTTGCTGAGGAAGACTGGCCCTGAACTAACGTCCATGTCCATCTTCCTCTAGTTTCTATGTGGGACACCTACCACAGCATGGCTTGCCAAGCAGTGCCATGTCCAAACCCGGGATCTGATCCAGTGAACCCTGGGCCGCCAAAGCAGAACGTGCACTTAACTGCTGCGCCACTGGGCTGGCCCCAGGAAATTAAAATCTAAGTGGAAAAGACTGCGTCCAATTTACTCCTCACCTCCTAATTTTAGAGATAGATCCAGCAACATCTTTCCTAGTATTTTGATAAATCTTTTGTGAAAAATTCTGTTCAAGATTTTTTTCCGAATTTGTGTTAAATCTAGTCAGATATATGATAAAGGTAAGGGTTACTAGGCCAATTGAATGGACACATCTAATTTTGCTCCCTTCCAAGACCACACTAAAATTACATGGCGATTAAATAATAACACCAGCAGCAAACAAGCATTCAAGAGAAAACAGGAAAGGATGCAACAGCAATAAAATATTGGAAATAGATAGGCAAGTCTTAGGATTTAGCAGACCGGAGAAATCATTCCAAGCTAACAGTGAGAAAGCTGAGAACCTCTCAGACTCACTCCATAAATCTTCAACAGGCTCAAACACTGGCTGTGCCGGTCAGGAGTGCTCTCTGCAGAGGCTCACTTAGGAAAGACCTGAAGATGCTAATGGGGGAATTCTCCCCAACAAACGGGATACTGGGAGTCTGACCCAAGAGAAGAGCAAAGGGAATTTCAAAGATGGTAGATAGCAAAGGGAAATCTCAGAATGGAAATTGTGTGTCCAGGCCAAAGAGAAAATGTGGGAGGAATTACCAATAGGTACAAAGAAGCCTAAGCAGATGAAATAAAATAAGGAAATTATTACCACCAGGAAAAACAAAAGTAAGAAAGGAGACACAAGTGTAGTAGGCTACAGTGCTTAGCAGTGAGTAATATCTGTGTAGGCTTTGTAATTAAGTATTGGATATTCACTTGACTAAAACCTATAAATATGGGGAAGGGGAAGCAGAGGAAATAGCAGAGCAGTGTTAAAAGAGCTAGTTTCTCATTTACCACAACGTGAAGTCAATTGATGATGTCTAAAAGTGATATAGCAAAAGATAACAGGGTATATAAATATTTAGAAATATGGAGATATGTAAATCACAGAAGGTCTAGTGAAAGAGTCTAAAGTGATTGTATCTGGAGAGATGAACTCAGAAGAGTGGAGAGGATGGGGCAAAGAACCACTATATTTTGCTACAGGCCTTTTAGTAACACTTAACTCTGAATCATGAACATGTGTTAACTTAATGAAATAAAAACTAAAGCAGAAAATGCAACAAATTGGAGAACGAGAACTGATATTTTCCCCAACAACTCATTTTAGGATGGGATAAGATATATGTAAGATTTTCAATCCCATTCTACTGATTCAAGTCTGAATAACTGGTTTCAAAACTGGCTCAGTAACTGATTTTGCAATTTACTGGGTACTGGGAACACATTCCATGTATATCAGCCCCAAAAGATATTGGAAGGTGTGTTCAAGGTCTATTTGTGTGCATACATATCATTATATCTTAGTCTTTTTAGGAGGAACTAAGAAGACCATCCTGTTACTTTTAATAGAGTAACACATTTGAAATACCTTTCTAGTAGGCAGCTCCGCCCTCCAGTGGGAATAGCCTAATGGCACAAAAAATTCCTGACAGCCACTCCTTCCCACAGCCATTGTTGGGAAGTCCTGATAATGACACAAACACAACAATGACCAGTGAGCATCTGGCCACTGCTTCTTTGCTCCCTCCTCACACTGCTAATTTCCACGATTGGTAAAAGAAGAATTAGAGTTTATTAGAAGTTCACAGGATTATCCCTTGGAGTGGAAGCTCAGTTTTAGAAGAGAGCGCCATGGAGTGATCTAGCCAAGGTTGATGTTAGACCCAGATTGGTTATTACAGAGACTGGGTGAAAAAAGATGAGGAAAGAATACTTCTACATGGTTTTTCTTGCACCATAGACATTGTTTAGAAGCAGGTGTATTTGCATTATCTCCTGACTAGAGTGTAAATTCATTCAAGATTTTTAAACATGTCTTCTTCATGCTCAGGAAATGTATAAATCCTCATATATGATTTAATGGATATTGAATTTTTATTGACAATAATGAGGTTTATTTTGCCATCCTTGAAAACTCATATTCAAATTTTATTCAACAACTGATTTCAGGCAAGAGAGAGGTGTACTATTTTCCAAGTGAATTTGAACCATGTGACCAGCTGATCTAAGTCATTCAGACCAAAGATAAAGAATTTCAGGATTTTTCATACTCATTATATAGATTCTAAACCTCCAAGATCATGGGTGTATGTAATCTGTTCAAGCCCCTCACGTGCACAGAGGGGAATTTAATGAATGTGGTTGGTGGTGAAGGTGGTGATTCAACTCATGGCTTCACTTGGCCTGTACAGAAAAAGCAGCAATCATTCCATTCCCTCCTATGAAATTACAACATGTATTTTTCTGTTGGATACTTACCAGAAATGTTGCAGTGCGAAAGCTATAAACGAAGGATGATGGCCGTCATGTCCTTAGAAGTAATTTGCTTAGCAAGTGATGGATACTGGAAACATATTTTGGATGCTGGTGATGTAAAATCTATTAACTATCTTTTGCTTATGATATTTTATAGAGAGCTATATTATGTTCAGTCATTCACTTTAAATGTATTTTTAATTGTGAAGGAAACTTCCTAGTTGATTTTAAATTTCTAGTTTTCTTTTTTCTAAGATCACTTTCTTTACCTGTCAATCTTATATTTTATTTTTCATATGAAAGCTGCATATCAAAAGACTATATAAATTCCATTTCTCTAAAAGTTTTCAAACTAAAATATGCTATTAAATTACTTTGCCATACTACCTCTTATATTTACTTTCACTTAGAAATTACCCCTATTCCGTATTCACACAATTTAATTTATTAACAATAGCAGTTACCGTGTCAGGCCTGGGTTTGTAACTAGCTCTGCATTTAGAACTTAGGCTAATTGCTTACCCTCTCTAAGCCTAATTTCCTCATTAATAAAATGGTTCCCTACCTCATAGCATTGTTTTGAGAACAGCACTGTCCAATATAACTTTCTGAAATGATGGAAATGTCCTATATGCACTGTCCATTATGGCAGCCTCTACTCTAATGTAAATATTGGGCACATATGAGGTGCTTCATAAGAGATTCATTCATTCATTTGTTGAATGAGTAAATGAATGAATGAAAAATTATTATAGGTAGTCCCCTAATGTGTTCCCTAAAACGTGTACAAAAAGCTCTGTGTCCAAAAAGTGAACCACAGATAAATACGTCACAAGGGAGTTTCATTTCAGGTAGCTACATACATACATATATACATGTGTACATACATACAGCCCTAATTATACACACTATATTTTCCAGTGTTTTGTGTGTGTTCTATAATGTGCTCTTTTCTTTTACATTGAACTGATGTAAGTGTAACAGCGTCCAACTGAAGCCAGATTTTCTATTTTTACCATGCCCAGTGATTTCCATCTTTGACCAGTTGTAATTAATGAGGCAAAGGTTGCTTTTTACCAGATTCAGCACTTTATTTTTTTTATTTTTTTTTAAAGATTTTATTTTTTCCTTTTTCTCCCCAAAGCCCCTCTGGTACATAGTTGTATATTCTCCGTTGTGGGTCCTTCTAGTTGTGGCATGTGGGACACTGCCTCAGCGTGGTTTGATGAGCAGTGCTATGTCCGCATCCAGGATCCGAACCAACGAAACACTGGGCCGCCTGCAGCAGAGAGCGCGAACTTAACCACTCGGCCACGGGGCCAGCCCCCTCAGCACTTTATTTTTAAGTTGCTTATTTAAAATATGGGTAAAATATAATAAAATACTCAAATAATTACACAAAGAATGCCACACAAATTTGATGCAATAACCAAAACTGAACTCTACTATATAGTCGCTCAAAGAATTTATTTTTCAGTTATCTTTAGCCAAAATTCAGTGTTTAAAGGTAGCTTTCATAGGTTACCAATATGAAATGTATGACTGTGTGCTGTGTGAAAATCAAATGTGTGAACAATGAGAGCTGCCTCTACTGTAGACAAGACAGAAAAGTGCATTCATGTAGTTTCAAATGATAATTCTATAAATATTTTATAGAATCATTTGTTAATTGTTTATATGGCAATGCCCATGAGCATTATGTAAATCTTACCATGATCAATTGACTACAAATGGTTACAAATAATTCATGCTTTTTCTTGATCTCTTCATTGCAGGCTCCATTCCTGCCTTAATCAGTCTATTAAAAGGTTCCAAAATAAAATTACAGTGCAAAACAGTTGGGTTATTGAGTAATATCTCCATCCACACAAGTGTAGTGCGTGCTATAGTAGATGCAGGAGGCATTCCAGCTCTGATCAACCTGCTGGTTTCTGATGAACCTGAACTACACTCTCGCTGTGCTGTCATCCTATACGATATTGCTCAACTTGAAAACAAGGATGTTATTGCCAAATATGTAAGTTCTTTGCATAGAACATCATTTTGACTGACAGACATTCCCCTTATATAGAAGCTAGAAAGAGACATACTCATGTTATTATGCAGTGGCAAAACTCTCAGGGAAGAACTCCAGTCTCAATGAGGATGGTGAAGAGGAAACCTGCCACAATCCCATGAGTACCAAAAGTAAACAAGAGCAAGACAGTACAGAGCAAGCCCAGCGAAGGGCATGAGCTTCAGCAGAGTTGTCCAGTTCCCTGTCTCCAAGTCTCACAAGGGGACACGGTGGACCCAGATGGATGCTACCTGCACACTGGGTTTGTGTCACATCTGAAGAACCTTGAGCTTAAGAAACCTATCACTTTGGTAGTGACCAGTAAGCGAGCCTGTTGTTTGTATGGAGGGAGACATAACCATACCTTTCAAAACTGCTAGCTACATAAAAATCCTGAGGAATGGCCCAGGTGAAAGAGCTGTTACAATCTTGATACACTCACAATACAGGTAGGAGTGCAAGAGGCCCAGGGAGGACTGTTTCTCAACAAAAGTACCCGGGGTGACACGGAAGGCAGACCAAGTGCCTACTTAGCTCTAGAGGATGTGGTTGCTTCTTGCTGTTTATGAGAAGATATTACAAGAAACAGTACCATTTTGGCTATTTCCATTCTGGCTGGGAAATGTCTAATTGTGTACCAGAAAGAATTAGAAGAAAATTATTTTTTGTGAACACTAAGCAATCTTCGCTGTGCTATAATTCCTTACATAAAATCCATCTTATTATGTCTGCTAATGTTTTATTTAAGATCTTCTAATATCTATTTATAAGTAAGATTACTTTTATAGTTTTATTCAGGTGATACGTCTTCGTTATGGATTGAGTCATTTAGCACTATAAAATGTACCCTTTTTTTTTATTTTCGAGGAAGATTAGCCCTGAGCTAACATCTGCCGCCAATCTTCCTCTTTTTGCTGAGGAAGACTGGCCCTGAGCTAAGATCCATGCCCATCTTCCTCTATTTTACATGTGGGATGCCTACCACAACATGGCTTGCCAAGCAGTGCCATGTCCGCACCTGGGATTCATGTGCACACCTGGGACCCGAACCGGCAAACCCCGGGCCACCAAAGCAAAGGTGCAAACTTAACCGCTGTGCTACCGGCTGGCCCCTAAAATGTACCCTTTTTGTCAAGTGTAATACATTTGCCCTGAATTCCAGCTTGTCCAAAATTATGTTTGTGATCTGTTTCTTTTGTGCTCTCATGTTTAATTTGGCTTTGCCCATCCTTTTCTTTTTAACTTTTCTGAATCATTTTATTTCCTGTTGGTTGATTTGGTATCAACCATTTGGAAAATATGTTAGAAATATAGACACCTCCAGACCCACTTCCCTAGTTAGTCAGTTAGTCTAATTCATTTAGATCTTATAATCTCTAATGATTCTGATAATTACCCAGAGTTAGGATAAATGTGTCCCTTGTATACAGTATATTTAAGTTTTGCTTTGTCATTCACTTTTTATTGAATATAGCTGATTTACATTTATTGATATGACATGTTTAATCTTAGTTCTGTCATTTTTTCTTGTTGTTGTTTTGATCTTTTACTCTTTGATCAGTGTTTTCTTTCTCTTTTTTTTCTTTCTCTTTAAAATCTGGGACTTACACATCAATGTTACTTACCTATTTTTCCTGAGACTTGGTGTAACTTTTCAACATGCAAATTCATCTTCTTTTATTTTTGGAATGTTTTCTTGAATTCTATCTTTAAATATGTTTTTTCTCTAGTATTCTTTCAGTTCATTCATACAAGTACTTTGTGAGAGTTTACCATATGGCAGATTCTATTCTAGATGCTGGGGTTATAGCAGTGAACAAAACAGCCCAAATCCCAGCCCTCGTGGAGCTTTTATTCTAGTCAGGGATAACAAGACAATAAACAAGGCAAATAAGCCAAGTATATAGTATGTTAGATGAGAATAGGTGTTAAGGAGGAAAATAAAGCAGGAAGAGGGGAGAGGAGGAGCTTGGTGAAAAATACTTCACTAAGAAGTTGGCATTTGAGTACAGACCTAAAGTAGATGAGGGAGTGTGCCATGTTTTTCTGTTGGGAAGAAGTAGGCAGAAGAAATGAAGTGAATGAAAGTAAAAAAAGTAAATGAAGTGGGAATGTGCCTGGCATGTTCAAGGAATAGCAAGAAAGCGAAAGTAGCTGAGAGGAGAGAAATAGGAGACACTTCTAGCTGGGTAATGGTGGACCACATCATGTAGGGCCATGTGGGCAATTGTTAGACACCCTGGCTTTTACTCTGAGTATGTTAAGCCATTGAATGATTTTGTTCTGGGAAGTTCCATGAAGAAATTTACATCACTCTATTTTCTGTGTTGCAAGGGTGGATGCAGCAAGACTAATTAAGAAGCTAATGCAGTAATCCAAGTGACCGATAATGGTGTCTTGAAATGGGGTGGTAATAGTGGAAATGGTGAGAAGTCATCATATTCTGTATTATTTTTTGAAAAGTGAGTCACCAGGGTCTGTGGGAAAGTTGAAAGATCTGGAGGGAGCTCAAAAGAGACTAAGAAAGAATGGCCAGTGAGCTAAGAGGAAATCTGAAGAATCTGTTATCCTATCAGCCTAATGAAGAAAGTGTTTCAAAGAGGACAGAATGGTCAATAGTGTCATATGCCCTTGTAAGACCAAAGTCAAAAATTGGCCATTGAATTTATTGATTACTGAATTAACTGACCACATCTCTTTGGGAACACCAATTATTTGTGTATCGTATCACCTTTTCTTGCCTTATATAGCTATCATTTTTCTCTCTAGTCCATTTCTACTCATTGTTTCATTTTATTTAATTTTTTCTCAATCCTGTCCTCCTTGTTCCTTGCTATGTTTTTTAGCATTGTTTCTTTTTGTGTGGATTACAATTTGGCTTTTCTTTCTCTCCATATCTTTCCTGAGCTTTTCCAGCAAGTGTTTCATCTCCCCTTGTCTCAAAAAATCTTCCCTGAGCACTAGTGTCTCTCCTGTGCACTTTTGTTTTATAGAGGTGATAGCTTCATTAATTTTTTCATTGATAATAATATACCACTCTCGCTTACAATTTTCTTCTACTTTGCCGCAATGTTTTTTGGATGAGCATTCTCCATCTGTCAAAAGCTTTTCCTTTTTTTTTCCTTATAATATGTTCGGATAGATCCTGCTCTAGTTCCTTTTAGACCATTATCCATCTTTGAATTAGGTGAGTTCTTTCTGGTCCAGCTATTTGCAGGAAGTGTATGTGGGAAAAGGCCCAGACCCATGTTCTAGGCTAGCAAGAATATGACTTATGCCACAGGGTTGTCTGCAGGGGTCCTTTCAGCTGTACTTTTCCCTAGCCAGCCGAGACTGGTGCATAGTACCTCACAGTGTGGATTCTGTTTCCTCCACAACATGAAGTCCATCTCTTCCTTTTTATCTCACAAATAGACTACTCCTTCCAAACATATCTTGTTGGTATGGTTCCTTATTCATCTTTGCCTTCCTTAATTTTTTAAATTTATGCCAAATTGGTTCACAAAACAGTCTGCTGCCATCTTGCATACCCATTCCTCTTGTTCCAGACAGGGAATTGTGTGTTTGTTTTTCTGCCCCTCAAAGTAGAGCCTCTCATTTTGGAAAACGGTGCTCTGCCAGCATTTCCTGTGGCCAGTGGTCATGGAAGATCTCACTCATCCCTGCTGGAAACTCATACACATTTATTACGATTCATCGTTAAAGATGTCTCCTAGCTTCATTGAAAATGTACATTTCTGCTTCTTATCTTCCCTAATATTCTCGCATTATTTCTGTTAGTAGGGAGAAATGCCATCTTTGCTCCATTTAAAATTTAAAAATTATTTGTTGTTAGTGCCATTAAGTGGATTCTGAGCAGAGTGGAACCCTGCCTGGTCTTTTTGTGCCATCCTCGCACCTTCCGGTGCTATATTAGACAATGCTCTGCTGCTGTTCATAGGGTTTTCGTGGCCAATTTTCTCAGAGTAGGCGACCAGGTCCTTCTTCCTAGTCTGTCTATTCTGGAAGACAGACTGAAACCTGTCCATCATTTGAAATACCGGTGGTATTTGAAATACCGGTGGCATAGCTTTCAGCATCACAGCAACACACAGCCAACACAGTATGACAACCGACAGACAGGTGGTGTGGTTCCCTGACTGGGAAGCAACCCCTGGGGCGCAGTGGTCAGAGAGTCGGATCTTAACCCCTAGACCACTAGAGTTGGCTGGAAATTATATTCACGTTTAAAAATAATATTTTGTGTTGCACAAATATAATTACCAATTACCACTGCAATGTCTACAATGGCAAATATTTCCAAATGGGCATTGTATTCAATTGATCTTACTCAGTTGCTTCACTTTTTAGGCATTTATTAAATGTTACAGTGAACTTGCAGCTTCAATTTATTTTGGCATAAAGGAGGTTATTTTAAAATATATTTATAGGGGCTCGCCTGGTGGCACAGCGGTTAAGTTTGCACCTTCCGCTTCTGCGGCCCGGGGTTCGCCAGTTCGGATTCTGGGTGCATACATGGCACTGCTTGGCAAGCCATGCTGTGGTAGGCGTCCCACATATAAAGTAGAGGAAGATGGGCACGGATGTCAGCTCAGGGCCAGTCTTCCTCAGCAAAAAGAGGAGGATTGGTAGTAGATGTTAGCTCAGGGCTAATCTTCCTCAAAAGAAAAAGAAAAAAAATATATATATATATATATTTATAGAATACTTACCTTTATATTAAAGCATAAGATATGCTTCAAGTTGTATTATTTAATGTGCCATATCAGTAGACACATTTGTTTGTGGGCATTCATTCTCTCCTAAATAAGCAGATATTTAAAGTAAGAAAGATTATAGACTTGTGTTTCTAAAAAAAAAAATTGCACACATCTTAAATAAATTCAATTGTAATTAATTTTTTTGTTTATTTTTAGAATGGGATCCCAGCTCTGATAAATCTCTTACAGTTCAACATAGAAAATGTGTTAGTAAATGTAATGAACTGTATACGGGTATTATGTATAGGAAACAAGGACAATCAAAGGGCAGTGAGAGACCATAAAGGCATCCAATATCTTATCACATTCTTGAGTTCTGATTCAGGTGAGCCTCTATTTCTGTATTATTTTAATGTGACCAGGTATATTAAGTGAAGAAAACACAGGTTTGGACTTGTCCTATATGAATAGATGTCCTGGATTTGTCTTAGAATGGATCTAGACACATGTAATATTACCTAAATATCTGGAACGCTTAAATTTAAACTGCTGGGCTTATAAAAGGAATTGACTCTCATAGTTTTTAAAAGATATTTAAGTAGATATTTTTATAAGTGGAAATATCAGCATGAATAATGAAAATAATGCAGTCAGTATGCCCCGGGACTCGAGTAGATGTCTCCTTGTGTGCATAATACACATATTGATCATTGGAAGCTATTTTTCACGTTCCAACAGGGACTTCAGATTAGATATTTGATCTGCTATTAGATATTTGATACCAAAATTCAAGGTCATCAGGTCATTAGGCTAATTATCAGATCCTGAAGTGCCTGTCAGTACCAAGAACCCCAGAAGCTCTGAGGTCGTTTCTGCAGCCACTGCAAATGATTTGCTGGATTCTGTAAGAATTATCTCATTCTAGGGAGCATACACATAACAGTGTAAACTTCAGATCTATGGTTTTCCCCACATTCGGAGGGATAAAAAAAATGGGAGATAAGCTCATCTGTTTTTCTTCCTGCTCAGTTCATCATCTGTCTTTCTATTCCAGTTCTCTAGGAATAAATATGCAATAAATATGTTGGTTAAAATGTAAGACAAGCTTATGGATAAGGGGATTATTTCAGAGGACTTTCTTTTACTATAGAACTTCAAATTTAAGCATCTTCTAAGAACCTCTATAATGTAGTAAATCATTTGAAAGTCCTTTCCCTTCTTTACAAATTCCTAAGGTTATCTGCTCTAAGGTTCCCTCCGTTATTAACTATGCCCTACTTTATCATTTAAGAGAAGCGTTAGAGAGAGCCAGCTTGTATGCATATTTTAAGCATAGACGTTTTACTTGTTTATAATTGTTGTTTATTTTATTCTTTGTGTTTTATCTCCTTAATCAAAATTTAAAGACAGGGACTAAATTTTCCCTCTCCTTTGTCTTCCTCCCAACCTCAGATGCTTGAACAAATCACAAATTATCGAGGCAATTTGAATAAATAAACAATAAATGAATTCATGAATCATTTCTTTTTGGGACTCTTGCCTTATCTGAAACCTAAATCAAAGTGATTTATCCTATATTGTAATTTACATTATCTTCTCACTCCAAGGAAGACAAAGAACTTAATTTTGAAAAAAATTTTAATTGTTTTTTCTCTCCATTTATAATTTATAAATCCTACACTTACAATTTTAGTGCTTTAACAAAAAAGTCTCTTGAATGTTAGCTGAGTTGTTAAGTGGTAGGGGATCACGAAAGAATTTTATTAATTCCAATATCTTCTTAACCATTCTGAACTGCTCTAAGATTTTATGCATTAAGGTAAAATGGCCCCAAAGCAGATTCACGTGCAATTTCTTGAGGCTATAGATTTGTTAACATCTCCTTAGTCTTAACCCCTCTCTCCAGGGGTTCCTCAACCTTTGCCGAGTTGGGATGGTTTTAGGGCTCTGCTTCACCCATCTTTAGCTGCTTGTTTCATAGTCTTCCACAAATGTCTGCGCACATATGCATGTTTCCATTCCTACAGTGCCTCTGACTTCGTCTTTTCTGTGGCACACAATTGTCCTGGTCTGTGTTATTAACAAAGGTTTATATGATACTGCCAGGGAAATTCAAATATTAACAGACAGCATACAGAATGCATTTCAGCTCCAAACCATCTGAGCAAAACTTAAAGAGCCCTCTATCCTTCTGAGAATGATTATTCACACATTTTGCTGCAGAAATGTGTTTTCTCCAGACTCTTTGGGTGTTATATAATATAGCATATCTACTCGTTAACTTCTAAAATCTGAAAACTTTGGAATTCTGATCCCAAAAGTTTCAGATAAAGACTACCTCCGTCATTAGGCTTATTCCACCCAACTCTTAAAGTTGGAGTTCCGTGAGCGTGTGTTCCGGGTCCGCAGTGTTTTTTCACACAGCACACTGTCCGTAGGCAATCTCACTAACTCTTGAGAGCTTGTTATGGTTATAATCTGTTCTTCCCAGTTCTCTATCCAAATCCCCGAGCTCTCCTCTGAGCTTTGGGGCTAGTTTGGATTATTGAGGTGCTAAGTAAAGACAGCCCTCTCCCTTTAGAATTTGGATCCATTTGATAAATAGACGCAGAAATCAAATAGAGATCAAAACTTCAGCCTTATTACTGGAAAGCTTGCTTTGAGAAAACGGCAAAAAATGCCAAAAAGAACCTAAGCCATACATTTTCAATGACTCATTCTTCAAACTAAGAAATTATTTAACTCACTATTCCTTTTACGGGAGGAATGAATAAGTTTCCCGAGTGGGAGGTGAGAGTAGGAATTGCTACTTTTTGGACCGATGCAGGAATATGCGGTAAAAGAACCGTTCCTCCAACACTCTTAATTTTGTCAACCTATCGTGCTTCACAGCGTTCCAAGTATTACTAGAGTGATCTATCTAAAATGCAAAGTTGGGGGGGCTGGCCCCGTGGCCGAGTGGTTAAGTTCGCGCGCTCCGCTGCAGGCGGCCCAGTGTTTCGTTGGTTCGAATCCTGGGCACGGACATGGCACTGCTCATCAAACCACGCTGAGGCAGCGTCCCACATGCCACAACTAGAAGGACCCACAACGAAGAATATACAACTATGTACCGGGGGGCTTTGGGGAGAAAAAGGAAAAAAATAAAATCTTAAAATGCAAAGTTGGTCATATCTTCCCCTCCTTTAAATTATTCAGTGACTCCTTATCCCCAAGATAACATCCAGATTTCTAGCATTGCCTATAAGCCCTTCTAACCTTCCTACTGCAAAAGGAAATGACCTGCCTATCACTTCCTTCCTCTCTTATTTTACTCTCAAGTAATATTGAACTTATTGCTATTTTCTATTTCTGGCCTTTGAGCTTGCTCCACAAGGTTAAGAACTTTATATTGTTGGTTGGCCACTGTCTCTCAGTGCCTAGGACAGTGCCTGGCATGTAGTAGCTACTCAATAAAATATTTGCTGAATAAATAAATAATTGAATGAGGAAAATATTCACAATAAATAATTAATATATTTGATATAAAGTAGGTATATAGATTGATATGAACAGTAAGGCCTTAATAGATAGTTGATCTGAATAGATAGTCTATGAGAGAACAAATGCTAGATTTAGAGAGTCTGGCTGCTTGAATCTAAAAACACCTTTTTTAGCCAGCCCTGATGGCCTAGCTGTCGAAATTCGGCTTGCTCTGCTTCAGTTCCTTGGGTTTGGTTCCTGGGCACAGAACCACACCACTTGTCTGTCGGTGGCGGTGATGTGGCGGTGGCTCACATAGAAGAACCAGAAGGACTTCCAACTATAAACGGCTATGTCCTGGGCCTTTGAGTGGGGAGGGGGGAAGGAAGGAAGGGGAAAAAAAAAGGAGGGAGATTGGCAACAGATGTTAGCTTAGGGCAAATATTCCCTGCAAAAAAATTAAAATAAAATAAAAACACCTTTTTTTTATAGTTTTGACTTTTGGAAACATATTGCTGTCTTACATTTAAAAAAAAAAAATTAATTCTACAAGGCCACAAGGGGGCAACTAAAATTAAAAACAAACAGAAACAAATGAACCCAATTGTATTTAAATGAAGTAGATAACTAGATTAAAAAAAAATACAAATAACTTTTGAACACAGTGCTTTTCTATATTTCCTCAGTCTAGGGGAGAAAAAAAAACTGCAAGCATATCTTGAATTCTTCTTATTAGATTTGTATTTCATACTGATATGAGTGAAATAGCTCTGAACCTGTGTTATAACAAATGAAATGTTATGAACAAATGAATAATGTGTTGATATTATTGGGTTCTCACTGTGAAAATGTACAGAATATGGGAAGGTAATAAAGAATCCTGTGGGGTTGGACTGGAATTGGAAAATTGGAAATATATGTTTTCCTAGTCTTGTCTGCTAAGAGAGTCTAGAAGCAGTCATACTCCAGAAGCAATGAACACACTTAGTACCCAAATCTTGATTTCTAAATACCATTCCTCATTAAAAGAAACCAGAGCTTCTTGGAGAAATGATTGATTCCAGGGCTGGGGCAGAGCAGGTATGTGGTGAGTCTGAAACATCATATTATGACAGAAATTAAGAAAATGCTAAAAAAAAAAAAAAAAAAAACCCTGATGGAGGTATATCTAAAGGACACATGGGCCAACTTGAAGGACTCCACTGGCCCTTCAAGTTGCACAGTTTTGGACACTGGCCAAATCTTGGGCAATTTGAGTATCAATACAAATAAGGAAATTAATGGATTGTAACTTATTAAATAAAACAGAAATCCAAGAGCTCATATGGATAATTAGATAAACAAGAAAATAAATAGGAAAGTAGGGAGAGCTTTTCTTTATAGTAGAACGCCACCTGACAAATGTGAAGGGAGTGGTAGGTTTGGAAAACTGATATTTTGCAAATATCCTAGTAAAGATGGTTTGAGCAAAAATCGTTAATTGTTGCTATATCTTAGAGGCGTTCTCTGACTTATTTTTGTAACTTTTCTGTAAGTTTTAAAGAGAACAAATGCAGCTGGTTAATAAGCATATATGAAAATGTTCAGACTTGCCAGTAATACAAAATACAAAATAAAATGGCACCATTTTTTGCCTATCAAATTAGTAAAATTTATTTATATATTTATTCTTAATGATAATATTTATACTTGAAAAGATACAGTAACATTGATACTCTCATACTCTGATTATGGAAGGGTAATAGGCTATTATCATTTTTGGAAAGCAACTTACTGAGATGTATTAAGTTATTACAGTAACCCCTAGGACTCTATACTAAGGGAAAAAGAATACAGACAGGAAGGAATGCCTTATGTGCCAAGATTTCTCCTAAGCATTGTTTAAAATAGTGAAAAGTTGAGAAACAACATATATTTTTAAAAATGTGAATGGCTAAGGAAATGTGATGCACACGTTAATGGAATATTTAGGAGACAGTGATGTTCATAAAACGTGGGAAAGTGTTTTACTGGTAAATTGAAATTCAGGATATTGTGTTTATAGTACAACTATACTAAATATGTCTATGACACTATCTAAATCTATAGTCATAAAAAATAGTGTGTGAGATTAAATGAAATGTTTGTGTTTGAGTGGTGAGAATCTGGACAGTTTTATTTATTTTTTCTATATTTTCTAAATTTTCTATAAACTCCATAAATTTGATTTTATAATATGGGAGACTAGTGATAATAGTCTTTTTAGAGATTTATTTAACTGGTTCTTGAATTCATTTGAAGACATGTTGAAGGCTGTATCTTCCGCTACAATTGCTGAGGTTGCACGTGACAATAAGGATGTTCAGAATGCTATGGCTATGGAAGGAGCCATCCCTCCTCTGGTGGCTCTCTTCCAAGGGAAACAACTTTGTGTCCAAGTGAAGGGTGCGATGGCTGTGGAATCACTGGCAAGTCACAATCCTTCTATACAGAGAGCATTTCTGGAAAAATCGTTAAGTAAATATCTTTTAAAACTCCTCAAGGTAGGAATTTTATGTTTACTTGTCATTATTCTTAGATCAAATATTCAATATTGAATTGAGTTAAGTGAAAAGAAAGCTAAACCAATTCTAGAATAAACATTTTGTAAAACACGCATTCCTACAGTGTTCACTAAATGCTCATTGAATGAATGGAATATATTTCTTTAATAGGCGTTTCAAATAGATGTGAAGGAACAAGGAGCTGTAGCACTTTGGGCCTTGGCAGGACAAACACTGAAACAACAAAAGTATATGGCAGAACAGATTGGGTACAACTTTATAATAAATATGCTTTTGTCACCATCAGCGAAAATGCAGTATGTTGGTAAGTTATTTTCTATGCATAAATCTGCATAATATAGAAAGGGCATTGGAGTATCAGACGTGTTTCTTGCTTTTCTTTACCAGGAGGTGAAGCAGTCATAGCTCTAAGTAAGGACAGCAGGATGCATCAAAATCAAATATGTGAAGGGAATGGAATTTCACCATTGGTTCGCTTACTAAGGATTAGTAAGATAGCTGAAGGCATACTTCTGAGTGTCATCAGAGCAGTGGGATCCATTTGTATTGGTTTGTAAATTTATTCTCAATTTTTAAAATATTAATAAGATATTTCTCTTCCCCTCTATCCCCACTGTTAGAGCCCTAAACCATATTTAATCTATAAAAGGCTATTATATATATTTTTTCTTTCTCCAAGATCTGAATGGGTAAAAGTGGTGTAATTAAGAATTTTATAGCGGTCTTGCTCTTGAACTCTGGTTAGAAAGGGAAATGAGGACAGTGAACCTTGGCTATTTTTACTTAAAATCTCATTTTTTAAGTTTAAGAGAAAAATATTTCTTCTTTTGAATCTCAAGAATGATATGTTTTTGAACATACAGAAGATTTTCTAATGCTGGGGTACATTTTTTTTTTTTTTAAAGATTGGCACCTGGGCTAACAACTGTTGCCAATCTTCCTCTTTTTTTTTTTTTAAGGATTGGCACCTGGGCTAACAACTGTTGCCAATCTTTTCTTTTTTTTTCTGCTTTATCTCCCCAAACCCCCCCTGTACACAGTTGTATATCTTAGTTGCTGGTCCTTCTAGTTGTGGGATGTGGGACGCTGCCTCAACGTGGCCTGATGAGCAGTGCCATGTCCACGCCCAGGATCCGAACCCTGGGCCGCCGCAGCGGAGCGCACGAACTTAACCACTCGGCCACAGAGCCGGCCCCCATTTTTTAATTCTAGTCTTTCTTTAATCATTCTTTGTTCACAAAGTGACCACTAAGGCTAGTCGTTCCTTTCATGGCAAAGGAATTAACATTTTGGGATATCTGAAAAATGTGGAATTTTCAGTGATTGACCTACCAAAAATAAAAATTTGTGTTCTTTGCTGACCTTCATGAATGTATAGGGCTAATTGTAGACTGCTTCTTATAGACAAGAGAAAAAAAATCTTTATTTCTAGTTCATTGTATTTTCTCAAAAACTAGTCTAGCTGGATAAAGAATGTAGGAATTTGTTCCAAAAAAATTTTTTTCCCTCCTTGCTTGAAAAAGCTACTTTGCAGAAATTCATTAACTGTACCAAGGCAATCAGTCAGATAAAAGAATGTTTCTTTTTTTAGCCAGATATTACAGTATAAATTATAGATATTTCTAAAATTCTAGTAAATGATAACATATACACAAAGATACCTGATATATATGTATGTACGTGTGTGTATTCAATTTCTTCTCATTAGTTCACTCAAAGCTGTCCACATTTGCTGTAGACAAGGGGTTCTCTGGTAGAATTACAGAACAAAACTCTTGCTTTCAAATTCACCAGCTTAGAATGTTGCACAAACACACACCCCTTCCTTTTTCTTCCTCATCACGTTCATGTTTTCTTCAACTTTCTTGAACATATGAGCATGTTTAAAATAGCTGTTTTAACATCCCTGTAGCTAGCTCCTGCATCTCTGTCATTTCTGGGTCTCTTTCTATTGGTTGTTTTTTTTCCGATTATGAATCATATTTTCCTGATTTTTTGCATGCCTAGAATTTTTTAAATGTTGGGGGTTTTTTAGCTTTATTGACATATAATTTACATGTAATTAAATAGTTAAATAAAATAAGCAAGAATAAAATATAAAAAAACATTGAAGGGTACAGTTTGCTGAGTTTTGACATATGTATTCAGCTGTGACACCATAACCAATTAAAAAATGAATATAATCATCACTCCCAAAGGTTTCATTGTGTCCCTTTGTAATCCCTCCCTCTTTGCACGTCTACCCCCAAATAACCACTGATCTGTTTTCTATCACTATAGATTACCTGCATTGTCTAGAATTTTAAGTAAATGGGATTATACCGATGTACTCTTTTTTCTTCTTTCACTCAGCCTAGTTATTTTGATATTCATCCATATTATTGTGTGTATCAATAGCTCACTTCTCTTTTAATGCTGAGTAGTATTCCATTGTATGGTGTGATGGTTAATTTTATACCTTATGATATATATACATACATATGTATCCTGTTGGTTCTGTTTCTCTGGAAAACCCTAATAAATATGAATATATATGACTTGTTTATCCATGCATACACTGCTGGACATTTAGATTGTTTCCAATTTCTTGCTGTTATAAACTTTTATGAACATTTGAGTACAAGTCTTCATATATATCCATGTTTTTATTTCTCCTGGCTAAATACCTATTAGTAGGATTGCTGGGTCATATGGCAGATGTATGTTTGACTTTTAAAGAAAATGCCAGACTATTTTTCAAAGCAGTGTTACCACTTTGTGTTCCTACCAACAGTATAAGAGAGGTCCAGTAGCTTCAGATCCTTGCCAACACTTAGTATTATAATTTTAGCCATTCTAGTGGATGTGTAGTAAATGTCATTGTAGTTTTAATTTATATTTTCCTAATGATTAATCATCTAGAGTATCTTTCCATGTACTTATTTGTCATTGTATATCTTCTTTGGTAAAATGTCTGTTTGACATTTTGCCCATTTTTTAAATTGCGTTGTCTTATTGAGTTGTAAGCATTCTTTATAGATTCTAGATATAAGTCTTTTGTTAGATATGTGTTTTGCAAATATTTTCTCCTAGTCTATGGTATGTCTTTCCATTTCTGTAACAGGGTATTTTGAAGAGCAAATGTTTTTAATTTTGATGAAGTTTAATTTATTGATTTTTAATTTTTTTTAGTTTTTTGGTTTTGTGTCCTCTTTAAGAAACTTCTGCCAAATGCCAGATCATGAAGGTTTCCTGTTTTCCTCTATATTTAGATATGTGATCAATTCTGAGTTAATTTTTGCATATGACTGAGATTCTTTTTTTTTTTTTTTTTTTTTTGCATATGACTATCCAATTACTTCAGCACCATTTATTGAAGAGATTATCTTTTCCTCCATTGAATTACCTAGGTTCTTTTGTCCAAATTAATTGACTAGCTATTTGTGAATCTCTCTCTGGACTCTACTATTCTAGTTACCTATATGTCTATCTTTATGCTATACTCACTGTTTTAATTACTATAGGTTTACAATAAATCTTGAAAGCAGGTAGTATAAGTCCTTCAACCTTACTATTCTTCTTCGACGTTGTTTTGGCTATTCCAGGTCCTTTGTATTTCCATATTATTTTAAAAATTAGCCTGTCAACTTCTGAAAAATATCTCCTGTTACTTTGATTGGAATTGCATGAAATCTATAAATAAATTTAGGGAGAACAGACATCCCAATAATATCAAGTCTTCCAACCCATAAACATGTTATATCTCTTCACTTATTAAGGTCTTCTTTAATGTCTCTCAGCAAAGTTTTATAGTTTTCAATATACAATTTTTGCACATATTTTGTCAATTTTATCTTAGGTAGTTCATATTTTAAAATCATGCATAAGAAATTTTGATTAAATGCTGGACATTATGAGTTTTAATTTGATAGATGTTGTTTCTTATTTTCCTTGAGAGAGAGTTAGGCTCTGTTCTGGCAGGCACTCTCCTTGGGATCAACTTGATCCTTTTGCAGTTTGATCCTTCTGCAGTAGCTTTTAAGGTTTGGTAGGACAAGTCTAGGGCAGACTTTACTCTGGAACTAACTTAATCTCACTGTTAAAAAGATGATACCTTTCCGAGGTCTCGATCCTTTGTATAGCCCCTGTGTTATAAGGTATCTACATTCTGGCCAGTAGGAACACAAACCATCTCTAGCCCTGTGTGGGCTCTGAGAATTGTTCAGCCTACTGCTTGTAGTGGTTCTTTTCCCAACTTAATGGAGTTTCATCCCATTATTAACGTGAAGATTCAGTCAGAGATTTGAAGGTATTTTCCTTATACCACCACCATCATCATTATCATAAACATTATTATGAAAAACACTCATTTTTTTTTGACCCCACCTCTGGCACATTCACCCGTTGAATCTCCCTACGTATCCTTTTCCCACCTACTCTGAAGTAAGCAATCCTTCTTCGGCACTTCAATTGTACTTTTCTATACCTCTGTTAAAGCACTTATTGCACGGTATTGAAATCGTGTATTTAAATAGTTGCTTCCCCTAGAGAATATAAACTCTTGAGGGCAGAGATTCTAATTCCTCTTTTTAGCCCTACTTCCTACCTCAGTGCCTGGTGCTTTAGGCATTCAATACCTGTCGGCTGAATGAAGAATATTCATGTAATCAGTGTTTGTGTACATCGCCAGGTAGCCAGCAAGGGAGTAGGGAACAAGGGAAACAAAAGTATCCTTTGCTCCCACTTTCTTCAAACTTCCTCAGATCAGAAGTAGGTGGCTTCTCTTCATTATTCATAGAGAGGCCCAATTTTGTATTTATATTTAAGTACATAAACCCACTGTACTTGTGTTGTGACATTTCTTGGCAATAGAACAGAATTAAACATTAAAATTAAAATTGTTCATACATATCCACTAGAGAGAGATGACAACGTTTCTTCATTGAGATTAGGCCTACAATTTAAAGTAGTACATTATAAAAAGAGACAGTAAGATTATCTTTTTAGTATGTTCATTTAAGGAATCCAGAAATTTTAACCAGGTGATTTGATCTAGTCATTTTTATAAAAATAAAGTTTCTATGGAAAACAATAGAAATCATAAATTTAAGTACTTGCACATAATAATTCTTCAATAAATGATAGCTATTATATTGTTATTCCTCGATAGTCTGGCGTTTCTAATTTCTTTGTTTTGAGACTATTAGAAAACCATTCATACTACTTTTTTTTTTTTGAAGATTGGCACCTGAGTGAACATCTGTTGCCAATCTTCTTTTTTTTCCTTCCTCTTCTTCTTTGTCTTCTCCTCAAAGCCCCCTAGTACATAGTTGTATGTTCTAGTTATAGGTTCTTCTCGTTATGCTACGTGGGATGCCACCTCAGCATGGCCTGATGAGCGGTGCCGTGTCTGCACCCAGGATCCAAACAGGCCTAAGTGGAGCGTGCGACCTTAACCACTCGGCCATGGGGCCGGCCTCGCATCCATACTTCTAACAGTAAATTTTCCATGTTTATTCACTTTGCCTTTGAAAAATTAATTCAGGTAAAATAGTGTCGATATAGCATTTCCTTTTGCAATTTACTAAGCATATTACGCTTGGCACTTTATCAACCAAAAATATCAAAAACCAACCAAAAATAACTTTACCATTTCCAAGATGGAAAAAAATATTACCTGATTGACATGTGAATTCTTACAGGTGTTGCCCACACAAGCAATCCCACTAGTCAACAATTTGTTGTAGAGGAAAATGCCTTTCCAGTACTTATTCAACTACTGAGAAATCACCCTTCTCCTAACATTAAGGTATATATAAGGTTTTAAGGTTTTGTTCTGATACAGGAAAAACTAACAGAAATATCTTTTTAAGAATAATTTGTTTCCTTATGCAAATTCACAAGTATAAAAAATATTTAATCTTTTAAACAAAATCTTAGAAGTTTTAAGCAAAAAAGCTGCTACAATGATAGTAGTAAATTTTATTAAAATATGATTTCTTCAAATATAGTAATAAAGTCTTATGTCCTTACTTATCAAACACGTTTTATTTCTCAGATATTTGATTATTCACAGAATTTCTTCCAGGTATTGGTTGCTAAAACTGGGTGCGCATAACGAGGATGTGTGATTTATGTAGCAACACTTGTCAAATGTAAGGGAATCCTGACAGTGCTACACCATCAAAACAGCCCTACCTTCTACCAAGCAGCCTGTGTTGGCTGGCAGCGATAGTTTTCTCAAGGGTGGACATTACAAAGAATTACTGCGACTTGTTGAAGAGTCCTTCACTCTTCCATTTACTTCTAGTAAAATGTCTTTAACAAAATGACATTCACATCTATTCAAATCCTTTTACCAAGGCTTTGGAAATTCAGGACATCTACAGCTAGCCAGGCAGGAAATTATAACAACAAAAAATAAATTTTCTCTTCAGAATTTAATATAGGTTCTGTTGGAAATGAGAAAATAGAAATAACATGGGAGGAAAATATGTAAGTAAACATAGCATTATTTCTTTTAAGGAATATCTTTGTTACATAAAAGATGTCATACATTATGTGGTTTTTCTGCCTGTGAAAGAGATTATTTTATTACAGGAGTTGATTAAGGAAACAAAAGGAAGGAGCATATGCTAGCAATTTTTTTGGCTTGAATTATATGTAAAAACTACACTGACTTTGAAAGTACAAGTAAATTTCATAAGACTATGGAAAATGCTACGTAAAAATACATTTTTATTTTAAAATGCACATTTTGATGGCAAAAGTTTACTTCACTTGCATCCACCTATATTTCAGTATGTTTTCACTGAGTTCTTAAACTTGTTAAAACAGAACATAAATACGTTTCAATACTTTTCTTCAAATAAGATTCCCTACTAAACAAAATATTTTTGCAATAATAATGCTTTTCAAATTCATAACATTTTACATAGAAATGCATAACGTAGTACTTAAAAAAACTTATCTGTTGAGTCCCAATAGTAAACAAGGTTCATTTACTCCTCGAAGGACTTAGCATGTGCATTAATGACTCCAGAACTACGTGAGGGAAAGCACTCTTCAGTCCTACTCTCCAGTGCTTTGCTTCAATTCATAGGCGTCCCATTAAAGCCTTACAACTCAGTGGTCAGCAGCTAACAAGATGTTCACAAGAGCTTCTTAACCCATGACAGGAAATTAAAAAATAATTTTTTTAGATGTGGAAGGGATACAACTATGCACTTCAGATAATACATAGATAATACCTCACATGTCCTGCTGGGCCTGGCTGCCTCCCCCCATGCCCTCAGATGCAGCTGTGTGGTTGTGCTGGCACACAGAAGGATATTTTCCCAGCTGTTAAAAATTATAAGGGACACTCCTCCAGAAGTTGTGTCACTCTAAATATTAGTCAGAGAATTGGAATCAATGGATTTTTTTTTTTTTTGGTGAGGAAGATTCATCCTGAGCTAACATCTGTGCCAATCTTCCTCTATTTTGTATGTGGGATGCCTCCACAGCATGGCTGATGAGTGGTGTAGGTCTGCACCTGGAATGTGAACTTGCAAATGTGCATCACTAAAGCGAAGTGTGCGGAACTTTAACCCACTCGGTCACAGGGCCAGCCTCCCTCAATGGATTTTATAGTGTCTTGGAATTAGAATATCCCATATAAATGTTTGTATAAAGAAATATGTCATTTGATAAACCATGAGTGAAAAATAAATTAATTTCTGAAAACTACATATTTAGGTTGAAGTGGCATTTTCCCTGGCATGCATTGTCCTAAGGAATGATGTGTTACAGAAAGAATTACAAGAAAATGAAGGATTTAAGTATGCTGATGTCCTTTATCTTCTTCACTCACAAGATAAGGTAATACGTTTACAAAATGTTAAAGCTCATTTAGAAGAAAATGGTTTTTAGACCACAGCCTCAAATTATCATCAAGTCTTTTTCACGGCAATATTTAAATGCATTACTTAAGAAATGTAAAATCTCCTTGGTAGGGTTTGTAATGATGGAATAATATTGTTCCATATTTTTCATAGTTGTCACATTCCATCTTTAAAATATAGCAATTTTCATGCTTGGTGAAGAGCCAAAAACCAAATCTCTCTTGGATAAAATTTTAACCTAATTTTATGACCTTTCAATACTCAGCCATCTGCTTCTTATTCTATTAAGAATATTCTAATATCTTATTCTAGAGTGGTGCTCCTCAAAGTCTTTATTATGAAGGAATAGCTTTTTCCCAGCAGTCTGTTATAGGGAGATAAATTTTTAAAAGCCAAACTTTAAATTTTGAAATAATTTTAGACTTTCCAAAAATGTGCAAAAATAGCACAGTGTGTTCTGACATATCCTTTGTCCAGCTTTTCTGGATGTCAACGAGGAAATTAAAATGGATACAACACCATTAACTAATCTGCAGACCTTATTTAAATTTTGCCAATTTTCTCCCCAATGTCCTTTTTCTGTTCCAGAATCCAATCCAGAATCCCACATTGCATCTAGTTGTCATGTCTCTTTAGTCTCCTTCAGTCTGTGAAACTCAGTCCTTTGTCTTTCATGATTTCAAGTCTTTTCATGATTTTGACATTTTTGATGAGTCCAGGCCAAGTTATTTTACAGAATGTCCCTCAGTTCGAATTATCTGATGTCTTCTCGTGACTACATTGAGGTCATGGATTTTGGCAAGACTACCAGAGAAGTGATGTGGTCTTCTTTACTCACCCTCCCAGTGCATCATTTCAAAGGGTACATGATGTTATGTCTCGTAACTGGCAATGCTAACTTTGGGTACTTGGTTAAAGTAGTGTCTACCAATAAAGAATTTTACTCTACTGTGGTACACAAAAAGATGAAGTGCTGAGGTAATTACATGGGGAATAATAGGGTGAGGACACTGAATTCATGTCTGACTGACTCTCTGAGCCACCTTTCTTCCCTCTCTCCTCTTCCTTTCACATTTTACTCTCACTACCCTAGTCCTCAGGTACATGCCTTCTTCTCCCTTTTCTTCTACTGCTCATTCCACACTCACTCATTCTCCTTTTCCTCCCAGCCTCTTACCACCGGCTTCACTCTCTGGCCCCTTTTCCTTTGACTGTACCTAATACCTTTCTTCTCGCTTATGGCCAGGTGACTACTTTGTGCGTACTTAATTTTATTACAGAAAATTTCAAACATATATAGAATGAGAGAGTAGCATAATGAACTTAAATATTCCCATGACCCAGCTTCAGCAATTATCAACTCATGGCCAGCCTTATTTCATCTAAATACCCTCTCACTCTCCTTATATTATTTTTGAAGCAAATCTCAGGCATCATATAATTTTATCTGTAAATATTTCTCTATGTACATATAGCATTTTTTTCTTTTTTTAAGGAAGATCAGCCCTGAGCTAACATCTGCTGCCAATCCTCCTCTTTTTGCTGAGGAAGACTGGCCCTGAGCTAACATCCGTGCCCATCTTCCTCTACTTTATATGTGGGACGCCTGCCACAGCATGGCTTGATGAGCGGTGCCATGTCCACACCCGGGATCCGAACTGGTGGACCCCCCGCCGCCGAAGCGGAACGCGCGAACTTAGCTGCTGCGCCACCGGGCCGGCCCCCGTATAGCATTTTTATATAATGATTAGTAGTGGCAGAAGAAAACTCACTAAGATTAGTAGTTCTCTCTCTCGCTGTACTATACTGTTCAAATAAAATAGTGAAAATAAGATTTAGTGATATAATTCTATCTTTTGGATCTTTCTGGAAGACCTACCATACGTGTTCATCTTTGGCAAGTGGGCTGACTCTAAGGGAGAATTTGGTTTTGCTCTATTTACCCAGTCCCAGAGTGTTAAAATGTGATTTTTAAAAGTAAATCATTTTTCTTTTATTCCCTGTTAGAATATAATAGAATTTTACAAGTGATCTTATATTAAAAGATGATAGAGATCATCCCACAATGCATAAAATACAACATATAGATAGCATGCTATACAAGGGAAGTTTTGATTTATCAACTCTACTTTGAAATGTTGAAATGGAAATAAAAATATGTTGAAACAAAAAAGTTGAGGGTCAATGAAATTATGGAGTTTCCTGTTACTGTTTAGGTATTTATCCACATAATCAGTAATCTAACATTCCCTTTGAAAATTAAATTTTTTCCTCTTTTCTTCTTCCTGATATCACAACTAATTATCTATTTTCTCTGTTCAGTAACGTTCTGGGGTAAGTTTATTATCTGTTTTTACTGATAGTGTCATCTTTTACTTCCAGATATAGGAATGCAATATATTTTAATGGGCAAGAATTCAAAACCTATTAACTTGAGCAACATAAAAAGGAAATAAGTTAAAGATAATGCATGTTTCTCCTATTTCTAGGATATTTGTTTAAGAGCAGGCTATGCATTAACCCTTTTTGCCTTCAATAATCGCTTTCAACAATACTTAATACTGGAAAGTGGAATAATGACCATATCAATTTTTGAACCTTTTCTTGAATCAACAATTGAAACTGAGAAGGTGATGGCAGCATTTCAGGTATAAAACTAGAGGTTAAAACTTCAAATCAATAACTATCTCTTTTTAGTGAAAACTTAAAAATTAGAAAAATTTTTAGATCTGGAAAAATGTTTACTGGTTTGTAGAATTCACAGTAGTTTTTACACCAACCCCCTCAACCTCATAAAAACTCTATTATCTATGCGAATTTCTTCATTTATATAGAATTTTACAAGTTACAAGGAGCTTTTGCCTTATACCTCATCCGATGCTTATTACAACCCGGACAGTTTGATAGGCAGACCGTAGTATTTTCCTCCTCCACCTCTACAAGGAAATAGGTAGAAAAACATGGTAGCTTCCAAGCAAGTTTTCTAACTGCAAATCTTTAACTGATCACACTGATTCTTCAACCTGCGACAACTATATGTATCCGGGTTCTTCTTAGTCATATTCTTTCTCTTCTGTTTCTAGCCTATGACCTTTAGGAGAAGTATTTTCTATGAACCCACACGTCAAGGATGCAAAAGTTGCAAACACTGTAAAAAGAAGAATATGGCCTATTATAGTTACTGCAATGATCAGACAGGCACAAGTACTCTAGCTCCTCCCCTCCCACCGGCTTCTCTTCTATTGAATCATAACCAATTACCCCTCCTAGCTTCCTTAGAAGTACCCCCAAAAACATAAAAGCTTAATAAGAGAAGCTGCATAGAAAATGTTCAATGATTCTATGCTTTTTTGTTTTTAGATTATCGTATTGGCTAAAGTCATTATAGATGTGGACCACATTACTTTGTCTGCAAGAGGTGTTACTATTTTAGTTGACAGTCTGTATTCAGCTCATTCTGCTACCACTGCCTTGACAGGTAGGAAATAAGTAGAAGCTAATTGTATCCACATAAAACTATTTTCAAAAAAATGTTTTTTGTAATATGAGCAATGACAAAATAATAAGCCTGATGCTCTGTCACACGGTTTGAAGAATGAACTCACGTAAGCCCACGTGGAACTCCACAGTAAGTCTACATGGAATAATGGGAGTCTACTCTGCACCCCAAATAGGAGCAGAGTTAACCCAGAACATGGCCTTTTTGATTTCCTAATTACTTTTTCAAATGCTTATCATTTTTTCCAGAATACAAAATAAGAGTTCAACTATGAGCTACCAACAAAATAATTTACACACTGATTTATAATAGTGGCAGATTTATACTGATATAGCTCTGTCTTGTTTCCTTTTGACCAATTGTGCACATTTTGCTAACATGTCAGAGTTCTCTGCATTGCTATGCAATATAACAAAGCAAAATGGCCCAATAGAGTTCTTGACACACTTAATGCTAATTATGTAACTATGTCTACTCCAGACCTGACTTTCCAGATGATCAATAAGTTAACTAACTTGATATATCACTCTCAGCGCAACAGAAAACAGTATCAAAACGACAACCACGTGGAATGACTACTACCAAAAAACAAATAAATAAGGTATTTGTTTTTTAACTGAAATGGATCACTGAAGGCAACAAAGGAAATTGAAGGAGTGAAATGGAAAGAATTGAAGCAAATGGCATTGAAGGAAAATTCAAGCAAACACAAACTTTCTGATGAAACTAGTTGGGAAAAAGACATTTAAAAGTAGTTATTACCTATACTTTTATCTAAATAACATTCTTAATTCAATGTCATAGTAATTCTATGACTCCGAAAAACAATTATAGTGGGTTAAAATTTTATTCCACAAACTCTTGTGTGCAAGAAATGCCATATTATACTAGTTTCCAAAGATTCATTTCCCCAGGCTGGTAGGAATTGAATCTCAAAAATTACTAGACTTTCTTGGCACTCCACCATCAGAGTCATATGCATGTCTGGGCACCTCAAGCAAAGCAGGATATTCAGGCCTCAGGTATGATGTAAAACAAATGATGTGCTTAATGTCCAAGCTGACGTGGTTCCCTGAAGAGGCTCCAAACCACGGAAGTTTTGCAGAGACAGGGATTTATGTTGCCAAGTGTCCAGTTTTCCTATGTGCGCCACTTAGCCATTCCCACTCAAAGCACCTGTTCCTGCTATCTCCTTCCTAGTCAGATTCTCTGCCCTCCTCCATTTGTTCCCCATTTCTTACTCCCCATCTTTAAAGACACCTCTCTCCCCTCCTCCTAGCATAATGCCTTCTATAAACTCAGGCTTTTGAAAATATAAGCCTGAAAGAAAGGATATCTTTAGACAATTTTTGCTCCAGGTCCTCCAACCCAGCCCTCCCCAACCTGAGGCAATCAATACACAGGGCTTCTTGGCTTATAATGGAGGCTGGAAAAAAATACAAGAAGAAAAACCCAGTTAATACCTCAGTAAAGTATCCACTCACAAATGTAAAAATACATTAAAATTTGTGTTATATTTATTCCAACACAGCAAGAATATTGTGAAAGAATATCACATGAGAGCTCTAAAAGAAAATCAGTACGAATGAAATAGTTTTAAGTCGGCAGCTGCACATTTACTTAATTACTGGATCACTTTATTACTTTCAACCCCCCAAAACTTCTTTTTACAGCAAGAATTTCAATAATTTTAAACTTCAAAAAGCAATACATTGCTTGATTTAAAAATACCATTAACCTCTTCATAACTCAAAGCCATCTGAACTGCAAAAACGACATATTAAATTTTCTAAGGGTAGTTCAGTCATTATGTTCATAGTCATAAAACTCTAAAACCTCAAAACAAAATATATTCTGAAGCCATGGGGAAGAAAACCTGTGATTTTCAAAATTCCCCACTCTTAAATAAACCTATTTAACTTTTACTGTTTGTGACAGAAAACCAAACCATAATTTTGGGGCAAGTTTATTCTACATTTAACATATACATGCTTTTTCTCAGCACTTCTTCATTAACAGAGATGTCTTGTGACTCAAACCTTTTTAATACTATGTGCAAATGAACAAAAGCACAGTATGTCAGTTTATATCCATTAAATAACACAAGCATTTTTTCTTGTTTAATTTCTAGGGAATTTAATAGCTAGCCTGGCTCATTCTAGAGCTGGTATTCCAGAAGCATTTACCACATTAGGGACAATCCAACGGCTCTGCTATCATTTGTACTCAGAAAAAGAAGAGGTAAAAACAAAAGTGATTCTAAAATTGAATGTTCTAAAAATATAAATTTGCCTCTCTCTCACTTCTGTGGGCTAATTTCTCCAGAGGTTGACTGTGTTATGTAATAGCTCATGTTACTAACTCAAAATTAGATGATTTTTCTTGTACTACATCTGCCATCCATAATTTTGGTACCCACAAAAATGTGCACATTTGTTTTAACTTGAATATTGAAGATTCAATCTACAAATAATTACATCGATGATACAGAAATTTCTAATTAAAATATTTATAAAATATCTCACAAAAGCTGGTTAGTTTTTGTAATCTCACTAAGTCATTTCTCTAGTTCTTTGTAATGAATGAAAGTGGAATCCCTTGGACAGTTGTGTGAAGGCCAGGCTGCCATGGTAGTGGTTTGCCTGAGTGCTCCCCTCTGCTTTTCCCTAAGGTCTAAGGCAGGGTTTCTCTAGGGGACATCGGAATCACCTGGAGGTGATTGCTGGGCTCCATTCCCAGAGTTCCTGATCTAATACATCTGGTGTAGATCCAAAATGCTTGCATTTCTAACAAGTTCCCAGAATCTAAATCTGCTGGTCCAGGGACCATACACTGAGAACCACTGTTCAAGCATGGAAGATATATGGGCATATACAGTAATCAGATGCCAACGTAAAGACCAAAATGTCAACCTTCCGGTACCCCGCATGGGTCTGGTTTATGTTCATTCTATGACATTTCTTAGGCCACTACTAACAGATTTTCCCAAGAACTGCCCAGGAGTATACTTTAATGAATCATATGAACAACCTAATTACTTCAGGGTCACAAGCAGAGGGTATTTCCTTCAAAGAAGGAAAAAACTACTTTTGTTGGAGTCCTGTGGCCTGATACCTGTCCATGTTTCTTTGTTTTTGCAAGTGGGAAATTGAGTTCTTTGCTGGGTCTGAGTGGCCTTTTTTTTGGTGAGGAAGACTGGCCCTGAGCAAACATCTATTCCCAATCTTCCTCTTTTTGCTTGAGGAAGATTGTTGCTGGGCTAACATCTGTGCCAATCTTCCTCTGTTTTGTATGTGGGACACTGCCACAGCATGGCTTGATGAGCAGTGTGTA